AAGGTCCCATGGGGCCAGAAGCGGAAACGAGTGACTTAGGCACTCTATTGAAGGACTTTGGTCTTAACCCTCAAATGGCCCTTTAAACTTGGTCCCCACAAAGCTGCCGGACCCCACAAGAAAAGTGGGCTCTCGGGTTTTTGGACTCCACAAATATAGTAAAATAGGCAACACACGCCTCCACTGACCTTTATTGTCTCCGAGCCTAGAAGAATAAAATCAAAATCAACTCAGAAACAGTTAGAAAACTAAATTCAGGCTTAGGTTTTTCATCTTTTGTTTAGACATTAAAAGCGAGGCCTTTCTTTCCACAGCTGTCATTTTTAAACTTAAACCTTTTGTTGCTCTTCATCAATGAGGAAACTAGATCTCTACAGTGGGTGGGGGAGGTTTTATACTTAGATTTCAGAGTGAGGTGTCACTTGAACTCACGATAAGCTCTGACCACAAACAAACATGTGAACACACCCAAGAGGAAAAATGTAGTTTGAGTTGATATCAGACTCAAGCTGTGAAAAAACTTTTTTTTGCATCTGTACGTTACATCAGACGTGTTGTTTCAGCTGAATACAGATGATTCAGTGAAAAACGCCCTGAAGTCTGCAGGGAAAAAATCTGAAAAGTGACATCCTCCCTGTGAGTTGCATCAGCTGAGAGCAGGAGGTGGGACCGACCCTGCTGAGAGCCTGTCATTGGCTCTCAGAGTCCAGTCAGTCAGCTCTGTGAACTAGTTCTCTGCTGGCTGCTCTACAGCCGCTCAGCCCATGAAGTGAGTTAATAATAGCGGTGAAGTCATAAAATGCAGCCGGTTTCCTTTCTCTGTGAAAATAACTTGAGGAAAATGCAGCAAGAAAATGAGTCAGCAAAAACAAAAAGACAACATGTGGAGTAATTTACCAGTTTAGAAGATGACACGTCCTACAGAAAGATTAAATGTGACCATGTGTGAAGATTTACCGGTGCATTTTGCAGGACAACATTTCACTCCCTTTATTTATTTAGCTGGGTCAGAACATGTGTTTACTCTGGAAGTTCAGCTGCTCAGAAATCAATTTGCAAGTTAGTTTCTACGAAAGAAAAACTAGGTATTTCTAACTGAGTCACAGTTTCACAAAGCCATGAATTCTGAATATATACTGTACATATGTACAGCGGAAGAGGAAGTATTCAGATCCTTACCTTAAGTATAAGTAGCACACTGTGAAAATACTCCAATAGAAGTAAAAGTCCTGCTTTCAAAACCTTACTTAAATAAATGAAAGTACAATCAGGAAAATGTACTTAAAGTATTAAAAGTAAAAATGTTTAACAGCTTCAAAACACTTGTTGAGTCCAAACCTCAACGTTATTAACAAACATTACAATTATCACAATCATTCAGAGGAAAAGAAGCAAGAAAATGACTTCAACCATCAAAATAGTTGTCAATTTATTAATTAATCCACTTGTCATTTCAGCTGTACTTGTATAAACGGTTTAACTTGTAACAAAACATTGTATATTATAAACCTTTATAATTTAGTGTGCAGAAATCTTAATTTGCAAAGTAATGTCAGATAAATGTAATAAAGTAAAAAGAACAATATTTCCCTCTGAAATATGGTGGAGTAGAAGTAGAAAGTGGCATGAAAAGAAAACACTCAAATAAAGTACAAGTACCTCAAATTCGTACTTAAATCTGGGGTAGGCAACGTTGGAGAAACTAGCAAGAGAGAGTTTGATTCGGACCGAATGAAATGAATGGCTGTGCTTATTACCGTACTGCGACAACCACAGATACTGGAAGTAAAGCGAATGCCTACCCTTCCTTTAAGCAGAGTACTTCAGTAAATGTACTCAGTTACATTCCAAGATTACTACTGGATACTAAGAAAACATCTAAATATGATGATTATGAGGAATTGTAGTCTTGTCAGATGTTTTACTGTTCCTGGACATTGGCTGTAGGTCAGAGGTGTCAGTCAGGTTCAAAGTGTAAATCCAGGGCTGACAGCTTCAGGTGCCGTGGGCCAGATCTGTGTTTATACATGCAGCTGAACCTCTGCAATGTTTTGTTAAAAAACTGAGTCACCTCTCCCAAGTGAAGAAGACTTGAAACCTCAAGATGCTTTTCTAAGCTTCTGTCAGAGTGAATCACTGGAAAAGATGAGGGTGGCTGACTGAACTATAATAACAGGGATAAATCTTTGTGGAAATGTTTTTGTCCACATCAGAAACATTTCAACAGAGAGAGATTGGCTCAAATGTTTCCAGACAGGAGGAAGTGAGAAAAGCAACAAGAGGGAGGAAACTTCCTGAGGACAACAGCTACAACATGTACTCTACCTGCAACTCAGTGATGGAAAGTAACTAAGTACATTTAAAGTGTACTTAAGTACAATTTCGACATACTGGTACTTTACTTATATTGTTTTTAAATTTTATCCCACTTTATACTTCTACTCCACTACATTTCAGAGGGAAATATACTGTATAATATAATGTACTTTCTGTCACAGCTTTAGATCCTTTTTACATAAAAAAAACATATGTGCTTATATGAGAAGATGCAGTACTATACTACTAATCTACCCGGCAGTATACAACATGTCTAAAATCAGCTCCACACGCTTTTACAAGCATTCATTGGTGTTTAAAACCAAATACTAAAATATTCAAAAACACTTTAAAAGGAGCCTTTCTGCACAATGAGTACTTTTGCTGATAATATTTTTTTACTTTTACTTCAGTAACATTTTAAATTTAAGACTTTTTCAAAGAAGTTTTGTATTGTAAATGCATAGCTTTTCTAGACCATGGTATTTCACCATTTCCTTAAGTAAAGGATCTGAATACTTCTTCCATATCTGCTGCAGTATGCGCTTGCAGGTACTAGATTAGTAAACACACTGTGAAGCCTGATGATTTTGTTGCATCAAAAGTTGAGCCAGGTTCAAAGTTTTTGTCTGAAAACCCTTATTTCAAAAAATTTACTTCTAACCAAACATGGACAACAAAAAAAGAGGCAGCTACTAAACATCTATGTGTTGCCATGCAGCCTTTTCTTCTTTAAAATCAATAAACACTTAAATCTTGAATTATGCTTCTCGGGGTTGTAAGTAATTCATTTGGACAAATTGGGCGTATTTCTGTCTTTTATACTCTTACCTCCACTGGGAAGCAGTGTCACAAATGGCAAACTACAATGTAAAGAAAATATACAAGATATCAGTTTCACAACAGTGACAGTTTAAACAAACTTTTGTGGAAGCAACATGAAAGAACTTGGATTTATCAACGCAAATGGACGAGACAATGAAAATAAGGGTAACAGTATAAGGAGGAAGTACTGTGCTGAAATATACACTAAAGCTCTGAACGAAAAAATACTGGATCAACCAATCAGGCCTGCTGTAAGCTATTTTGATATTTTGGAGTTACTCATAACAGCCTTTTGTGTGAGTAGGTTCATGCAGAAAGGTTTTGTCGGTGTATCAAAGAATAACAGTTGACCTGAATCTTTATCTGCTGGAACAACGCTCAGATTCCTTCAGCTCATTTGGCTAAAAACCAGTCTGGCGAATACTTACACTTACACCATGTGCTTTTACATTCCATACATGTCTGTCAGATTTGCATTCCTGTGTGTATGTAGTATCTGTGCCAGATACTACATACACACAGGAAGTTTTAAAACTCGTCAACATCTTTGTTCTCTTCTGGAAGCTGAAAATGTACATTTTCTCTGTATTTGTGAGTTTATGGCAAAACATTCTGCTAAAAACTTCCTCCTGGTGAAGCTAACATCTCTTTATGGGTTCAACTTTAGTCGGCATGCAGGTGAGCTTCATTTAAAGGAATATTTTGAGAACACTTATCCACTTTCTTGGCGAGAGTTAAATGAGAAGGTCGATGCCACACTCTCGTCTAAATATGAAGGTAGGACCAGTGGAAGGTTAGCTTAGCTTAGCTGAGCACAAGTCATTGTGAAAACAGCTAGCCTGGCTTTCTCCAAAAGTACCACAATCCCCCCACCAGCATCTCTAAAACTCATTAACATGTTATATCTTGTTTCATATCTTTAGACAACACACATTAATTAGCATCAACCACTGTGGCCCATCCACCATTGTGAGCAAGACACTAAACCCCTAGTTGCTCCAGAGGCGTGTGACCTCTGACATGTATAGCAATTTTAAGTTGCTTTGGACAAAAGCGTCAGCTAAATGAAATGTAAATGTGTCAGATTTAGCTAAAAGCCAAATTTTCATCAGCAGGCATGTAACTTAGCTTTACATTTATTTTACAACTTCAACATATAAAACATGTTAATCAGGGAGGTTTAAAGGTGCTGGTAGGTCACAGTCTTTCCCGTCTTTATGCTAAGCTAAACTGACCAGCTGTTGGTTGTAGCTTCATATTTCTGTACAGACATGAAAGCGGTATTGATCTTCTCATGTACTAAAGTGTATTCCCAAAATGACAAACTACTCCTTAAAAAAATGGTAGTGGACTTCCTGAAGCTTTCACAGATACCATACAGTGGAACAATGTTAATAAACTCAAACCTACCCATTCAGACAGCCAAACATCAGGCAGTCGGCAACTTAAAGGCCTAGGCTGTGAACAAGGTAAAACACGTAAAAAAATAATTGCACTTAACATGTACAAGGTAATGTGATATGTCATGCTATTATACCATTTTAGGCTCTTGCACTCAAGCACTTACCAGGTGACGTCAACAAAGTCTGCAAAGCTTCAGAGTTCTTTGAGGTGGAGACTGGGATCGGGACTTTAACTCATCAGAGCGAGGAGCGTGTTGGTGGAGGTCAGAGGTCAAGCAAACGCTCCACTGGACAGAGATGCCCTTATAAAGGTGCAGTGACCTGCACGCTGAACGTCAGCCCAGGCTGCCCTGGATGTCAGAGCAGACTCGATGACTCTGCACAAAAATGACTGTGAAACAAGAAAAGGCTTTCACACAGTAACAACAGGGTGGAAGAAAAGATAGAATGACTCAGTCAAGCAGAAAATAATGTTTATTTTCCTCTCCCACTGACAACCGAATGTTTTAACAGTTAAAAAAATACATAAAAATGACCCCTGAAACCTTTAATATACAATAAAAACACCATCAACATCATATCCCAGCTTGTTCTCATTCTCAAGGCGTCAAATACTTAAGCTTTGTCATTTCCTTCGACGTCTGGTACCAACGCACATGGCACCTTTTAGTATTATTGTCCAACGCAAAAAAAAGACCTTTTATGTCAGAAACCGGACTTTCCCCCAGGTGACTGGTGTTCGTTTCCTGTGTGAAAAGTTAACATTGTTTTTAGTGAAGTTACTTAAGTTACATTACTTACGTACTTATTTTAACCCAAACCATGACCTTCTCCTAAACCTAACCAATAGTTTTATTTTGAAAGTCTAACCGGGGCGTTGCTTATTTATTGTTGGTAACTCGATCACAGAAAACAAAAGTGGTACCGAGGGCGTTAAAAAGCGACGCCAAGGGGTCTTGACAAAGCGTCCATATGTGACGTTGGGAGTGAGAATCTGTTGCAAGACCTCAAAATTATCCAGTACTTTGCATGTTGTGTCCGACGCTCAGTGGCAGTTGAAGAATGAACTTAACAGAGATAATTTTTTGGTCGTGTGTGAAATATCTCGACCACTATTGGAAAGAATCTGCTTGACACGTTCCTGTTCTTGAGGACGAATAGTAAGGACTACTTTGGTGACCCTCTAATTTTTCATCTAGCACCACCTGCAGGTCAAAGTTTCCACACATTCAACACTTCAGTTAACAGCGGGATGCCTCTAAAGCTAATGACCATATTACCATCAGCACGTTTATTGCATGTATGCCAACTGTCTTTATGCAGTGGTTTTAAGTGTGTGTGTGTGTGTGTGTGTGTGTGTGTGTGTGTGAGTGTGTGTGTGAGTGTGTGTGGGGAAAAGAAAAGATCATCTGTTTCTATGAGGGAAGTTTGTGAGCTAAGACACTGGTGAATGCAAAGTTTTCAAAAATGAATACTGATACATTTATCTATATGTTTATAACAGGTAAAAATAACCTGTTGTTTACATATCAGGAGTTTGGTGACATTTACAAAAGACGTTTTACAAGTTTTTTCAGTGAAAACTAAGAAATGTTGATGATATACAAAGATGGCACAGAGAAGTTTACACTCATCAAATATTCATGGCATCTTGACTACTGTGTTTGTGCTTTTTTAAATATTTCTATCTAATAATATGCACATTAACCTCTACATTTCCATTCAGACATGGCGCTCAGTGCATTATGACAAAATGTGCCCTTATGTTGATAAGAAATTATCTGATAAAAAAACAAAAAGAAACAAACTCAAATCATTTGTTTTGACCTTCCACGATTAAAATTTCATCTGTTCACATTGCAGCAAGTTAAATAGCTCGTCCCACCAGAAGCCTATATCAAAAAGTCCAACTTAGCCCGGCGTCACTGAGCTCAACACTGGAGATCCTGGATAACCGCTATCATGAAGCTGGTATCTAATACTGCGACGAGCGTGTAGATGCACTCAATTGAGAGCCTAAGTTTGTCGCTTCCGCTTCAAGCTCATGGGACCTTATTTCAGAAAAAAAATATGTACGTTAAGGTTTAAATTGTGCCCTGAATTAAACACATTGTCCAGAAAGTATCAGTTTCTCGTAAAGCAATAAAGTAACATTTAGTTTTTTGTGAAACTGTTCAATGAACTACATCTCTCGTCTGGCACAGTATACGCATAGACTGTATATAAAAAGAGCATACGTCATCAACATATTAGCACTGTAATGTTAAGCTAATGTTTATCACTTGGTTACTAATGGTTACTACTAGCTAGGTAGCTTAGCTATCTTCCACACACAGATGTATCACACCTAGAGCTGCAACAATAGGTTGAATAATCGATTACTTGTCAAGTATTATATTTAATCACCAACTATTTTGATAACCGATTAATCGAGTCATTTTTTAAAAACTCCAAATTCTCTGATTTTGCTTTTAAAATGTGAGTATCTTCTGGTTTCTTTACTTCTGTATGACAGTAAACTGAATATCTTTGGGTTGTGGACAAAATAAGATATTTGAGGACGTCTTCTTGGGCTTTAGAATTTACTTTTTTTTAGACCAAACATCTAATCAATTAATCGCGGAAATGATGGACAGATTAATCAGTAATGAAAATAATCGTTAGTTACAGCCTTAATGATTGACTGAAGTGTTTAATCCAACCACTCCTGGTCCTTTCCATCACATTATCTACACATGGAAACTCTTTCATGTTACCTTCAGTAACGTTAGCTTCAGTCATTGAGAGAAATAGTTATGATGTCACATACCTGACTTTTGGGTTTGTGGTCTTGGTAATTAGGGATTTTCTTTTTCATCTTATACTTTGACAGTTTTACGACAAACTTTGACTTTCTTTTCTTAAATTATCTTTTAAACTGACAAACATCATCTGTGTAATTCAGGGCACAATTCAAACGGGATCAAAAAACTTAGTTGTTTCTCGCAGTTGACAACCGTCCGTATTTTTTCCAAAATTAGGTCCAATGGTGGGCCATCAGAAGGGGAGGGAGTTATGCTTTCTATATGACATGAGATGAAACTATGATACCTGCAAGGAGGTGAATGCGGCAGCAATTGACCTTGAGCGATGTCAGTGGCACACAGCTGTAGAAACAGTAGGAATAACAAACAAATTAAAAAGGTAAGGGTGGGAATTATAATATAGGTCTCTTTAAATAGTGGTTGGCTTTTAAACATAGATTTAAGTGAGTTTTGAGACATTTTGGTGCTTTTTGTTACATGATAAACCAACTATATATAGTTAACATATCTATGAAAAAACAAGGCATAATATTCAGCTATAATTTCCATTATTCAGACTGCTAGTGTGATAATGCTTTAAACTCAGAGTTGATGTGCGACCTTTAATAAAATGGTTAAATTAATACTATTGATATAATAAACATAATCTCTATTGCTCTTTGTCACTTCTTGTAAACTTGCCAGCTACGTCCATGTCAGAATCCTGTAGGATGATGATACATTTCTTCCAGTGATCTGATTGGTCAGCGGTCGGGCTATGGCTGAAGTTAACCCATCCTGGAGTAGGTTTGCAATGAAGCTTTGGGTTACCATTATGATCCACTTTTTAAAAGTGAACAAGCTTCATGATGCAGGAAAACCGGAGTTAAGCTCAAAAGGTAGATGGATAAAACACTGACTTCGCTTTATGATACAGGCCCCAGGTCAGAGGTCAAAGTTGAGACGTCCACATTCCAAATAAAAAACAAAATAAAGCTTTGACCTCTTTTGTTTTTCCAAAAGGTCTGAGTTGTAAACGTAAAAGAACATCTGACCAGCTGCTAGAAACGTCTGGGCAGTCAGACATCAGCAGAGTAAAAAAGGATGTAACAAAACATTTGTGCTTCGTCCTTTAGCTACCTTTTCACTTCAGCAGGATTGTCGATAAACATTTGACACAATTACAGGATTAAATTAAAGCAGAGGAACACTGAGTTTCTCTTTGTGCAATAACAGCGCGTCCCCACTCATCGTTTTCCTGACGGCTACGACCTCCTCGAGTGTGATGGAGACCAGATTTCATCCTCAGAGTCCGAGTCCTCTAATCCAAAACCTCCTTTCCCGGGTCTCCCGGCGCCTGCACGTGAAGCGACGCCTCTGTTGATGTCGTTCAGCGGGACGTAGGAGTAGTCTCGGCGCTCGGGGAAGTGAGCCGCCACGGAGCCGCGACACGCCTGCATGAGGTGGACCAACAGGCTGGCTGACAGCAGAGAGGCCAGAGTGATGGTGATCGTCAGCCATGTACGCCTGAGGAGAGACGGAAAGCGTTAGATTGAGTTAATAAAACTAAAAACATGGAGGATGTCTCCTAAAGCGCAGAGCCTGATGTCATCATTTTCATAATCAATTAATTTCTTAATTAATGAATATATTTCACTACATTCTGACTTTTATTAAACTAATATTTTCTTTATAAATGCCAGAATGTAGTGAGTATAATTTCCTTTAGTGACATCTTCAAATGACTTGTTTTATCTGAAGGATGGTCTAAAACTTTAAGATATTTTATTTACCATCATTTATAACAACAAAAAAAAGCATCAAATTGTCATGTTGGAGAATCTAGAACCATTAAATGTTGATGGAAAAATAACTGAAACCATATATAAAATTTCTCTTGATCAACTTATCTATTTATTTTTTGAAAATATGATTTATTTTGAACATACAAAAGCTATCATATAGTACGCATATGAAGTGGATACAAATCAGTACAACTGATTATTTTGTAGATTGAGCATGCTGACAGAGGTCGACTGACTTGTCTTTAACCGAGTGAATTTAATAAAGGTCAAATGTTCAACAGACTTTTTGAGATTCATAAAAGCTCCTTCGTGTCAGTTTTAGTCAGACTTTGGATGAAATTATTTTAAATATGAAGAACGCATAATCCCACTGCTCTGCTGACACAGAAATATTTCCCTTAAGTCATTGTCATGAACTTGTACACATGCAGGAAAGCTCCAGGAGAAATCTAGCTGGGTGCTCTTCTTCTCTGGTCACCCTGGTTACATACGTGCATGTAAACACACTGACTGTCAACAAATCATGACAATTACTTCTAACCGGCAATGTCTCACTTATGGTTCTCCTCTATCTTTATATGGGGGGTGGCAATGGGCAGTGGATAAGACACATGCCTTTGATGTGGGAGACGTGGGTTTGATGGTATCCCTGAGCAAGACACTCAACCCCCGTTTGCTCCAGACATATAGTGCAATTGAAAGTTGCTTTGAATAAAAGTTTCAGCTAAATGATTAAATAATCATGATACATGTCGGGTCTATTGTTACTAGACGTAACAAACGAGAGACAGAACATGGATCCTTCAATCATGTTCTGAGTGTAGTTGTTGTATAGTTTGTCCACTAGAGGGCGCTCCGCAGCTCCCCTGTTTGTAACACAGTTCGGAACAACTAATTCACCACAAAACACAGCAATCACTTAACAAACGTATAATCTTTATAAGCTGTGTGTTTCTGAAAAAGATGAGAAAAAAAAGGAATATTGCCCGATCTTAAATTCCTCAAATATCAAAATCGGTATCAGTCTCAAAAATCCCATATCCGTTGGGCTCTAACTACAAATGAGAGTTTTGTAGATCTTAAGCTGAATTCTCAATTTCATTGACGATTGACATAAAATGTACATTTAGTGAATACTGACTTTGTCTTCGCACATAACCAGCATACCTAGTTTTCCTTTAGTCTGTAAGGAGAAACAGAAGAAAAGAGAGAGAAAGACAGTTTTCCTGTTGCTAACATTAATTATTATTAAGAAAATACAGATACAAGCTGTAGCACATGCATATAATGAAGTCAAATAAAGTGACTAAACATGTTATATGCAACCTGAACTGAACCGAAAACGTGAATTAAACTTAATCCTGTTTAAATGTCGTCAAAACCACTCTAACAACCTCATCTGAGACACTTCTGGTGGACATGTGACATGAGATACTTCAGATACTGTAGATGCTGTAGCGTTACCAAGATGGATTCTGATTCAGATTCAAGACACGTGCGTTTGGATTCTGCTTATTGATTCCCCCAATTTGCGTATTTCAATGTCTCCCAGCTCCAATGACGCCACAGATCCAGCTAACGCTAACAGTAGCAACGTCTCAGGTACAAAACACCTTTTATACTGAAGGGAAACCAGTGATGGCTACAAATGATTCAATAGATATTTCTCTTAGAGACGAGTCCCCAGAGACACCCCTCTAGGACAGAGACTCCTTTCACTTTAGCCATGAAGGGGGAGATGAGCGAGGAGGAAGAGGATGAAGGTCACAGAGCGCTGACAAGACCTGTGGTGAAGGGGTTGGAACCAGAACAGAGATTCCATAAGTAGAATCAGAATCAATAAAATTGAAACAAAACCCAACATTCCCAAAAGTGAGAATGAATATGTCTGTAAACCTGTGTTGTCTCAGCAGTAAGACTGCCAACAACTAGTTGGTCAAATGAGGGTTAAAACAGATGATGTCTTCTCCTCCATCTGTGACCAAAGTATCCGTTCACAAAGTGCTCTCCAGAAACCATAGCAACAACTAACAATTCCTCACTTGCATGTGAAAGGTAAGGAGGCTGATGAATGCGTCCTGTCCTGACGCCCTTGTTTACATGGAAAGGAGAGTCTGAGACAAGAAGCCAAATGCAGGTCTGGGCTGCCTTGTGTCCTGTTTTTAACTGGACTCCATTATTCAGAGCGATGCAGTGCTCTTTTAAGAAAAGGAAGCTGATTATTCCTTGTTAAAATACCTCACCTCACCTGTGAAATGTAGCTTGAAAGTATTTGACATATTTTATTTTTTATAATGAATCAGTGGATCTAACCTTTAAGCCACACGGACAGAAATCAGACGATCCTAACAATGTGTATTTTGGAGAGTGGAAGAGGAAACAAACTGACCTCACCTCACCTCACTCACAACACATTTTCTACATCTGAGGGAGAGTCTTAAAATCTGCCAAATTTGGAATACTGTATATACAGAAGTTACTAAAGATACAAGAAATAAACAGTTTTCCTTTTCTAGCTCTATACCAAAAGATCAGGAATAAACTGTGACGTTCTATTGGACAGACATGAAAGATGGGACATCTGAGGTGAAAAAGGTCAGAGTTGGTGGAGGCATTTGACACTTACTCTGTTAGACGAGGCTGCTCTCTGTGAGCTTCTTCATCCTTTCTCCAAGATGTAAACATCTGTTTGGCTAGACAGTGTCCAGCTGTGGAGAGAAGAGGAGGAAGAGCTGAGTAAGAAAACAGAAGACACCAATTCAGGCTGCCAAGTCACTGACTGTTAGTAAGAGTTTAATCCTAAGTGTTAATTTTTCTCTTATGGCCAATTTTCACTTCTGCGCCGACACACACCGCAAGAATTGTGATTGGTTGGTTAGGTAGTGTTTCCTCCTTCACATTTCCGGCTTGTCCTTCTTCTTCTGCATCAACCGATACAAAGGTCATACAACATGACATGCCTATAAGGACTTTGGTACATACCTCGTCCGAAGGCCTTCTCCCATTTGCGTTTTAGAAATTTCACTAAAAGTAACTAATATTTAACATCGATAAGCTCCAACTCCAACGTGATCCGCCCAGTTTCAGTCGCCATAGAGAACCTAAGCCCCTTCCCTCTGCATCCGCACCATGGGACCTTATTATAAGAATACGGTAGTCAACAGCGAGAGAGAGCAATTTTTTTTATCCCGTTTGAATTGTGCCCTGAATTACACACCTTTGTCAATGTAAAGGTTGATTTTTTTCGCTAAAAGGTATTCCCAAGCTGATCGCAGGAAAGTACTTTTCTGCTTATAATCTTCTACAATTTGTCAACATGTCTCTTCTCTCAGGTTTCTTCCCACAGGCCCGTAAAACTGCTGTCATCAAGCCACTTTTCAAAAAGAACAATCTGGACACAACACTAATGAGCAATTATACGCCCATATCAAACCTTGCTGTGAACATTATTGACATAGCTGATTTTAAACAATCTTGGGACTGCAACTGTTTTGACGTCTTCCAGTCAGGATTTCAACCACACCTCAGCTCTGAGACTGCTCTAGTTAAGGACAATTGACCACAACACATTACTAGACTGACTGGAAAACTGGGTGGGACTTTCTGGCGCAGTACTAAAATCCTACATAAAGGACAGGGACTACTTTGTGTCTATAGGTAATTACATATCTGAGCTGACAAAAATGAACTGTGGAGTTCCCCAAGGCTCCATTCTGTTTAAAATATACATGCTTCCACCGTCTCCACCATAATTATGCAGACGACACACACATTTACACAACCATATCTTCAGACTATAATCCCATACAATTGCTGAGTAAGTGCATTGAAGAAATCAACGATTGGATGTTACAGAATTTTCTTCCATTAAACAAAGATAAAACTGAAGTAGTTGTTTTTGGAACCAAGGAAGAACAAATAAAAGTCAGCGTTCAGCTTCAATCCGTTTAATTTCCTTTTAACAGCCACATTAAAACAAATGCAAAGTCAGCTTACTACTACCTGAAGAATATATCAAGGATAACAGGAACAAGGAATTTCCCTTTGGGGATAAATCTCAGGCCAGGCCTTTTCATTATGCAGCTACCTTTTGTTAAATAAAATTTGAGGCTTTTGATTAATATCTGACATTGCACATACCTCCTGTTTTATCTTGTATTTTCTATTTAACGCTTTTTAAAATTGTATTTAAATGTCCTTTTATATTACATTATGTTGCTTTTTTATGTAAAGAACTTTGAATTGCCTTTATGTTGAAATGTGCTATACAAATAAACTTGCCTTACAGCCTTTCTAATATAAATCATTAAATAATACCTGTGCAAGATATTATATATGATGAGCTTTACGCAACAGATCTCTGTATCTCAGTCAAAACAAAATGAGGAGGTAAATCCAATTCAAGCCACATTAATTTGAGGGTATGAAATACTAAATTTTAGAAACAAAAGAAGTACGCTGACCATACGAAAAAGTCCTTTTAACAAAATGATTTGAGTGAGAGAGAGTTTGAAGGTGATCAGTGAGCTTTAAAGTGCTGGCAGATACTTTTGAACTTGACAAAATGTGAAGCTATGAACTTTAAACATATCAACACCTATCAGACTCTGTGCTGAGGAGGTCCAGTTAGATGTTCACTACAATCTAGATCCTAGAAGTTAAATCAGAAAAGGCAGTTGATATAAGATTTGTTTTGTTGGGGAGAACTGCTCTAATTGACACCACTGTGTGCATCACTTTCTGCTCTGTGTTTCACAAACACAGAACAGAAAGTGATGGACAGTATGAGATTTACTAAGCGTGGAGTTTTTGGGAGCTGGTCTGCAGATGAATAACATTTCCAGTCCTCCCTGTTCAGTCATTACAGTTCTGCTCTGTTTGGACAGACAGCAACAAAGAAGGAACTGTTGTTGCTTCTGCTCTATGCAAATTAGAAAAGATTTGGTAAATAGTGATAAACACACTCTGTGCCTTTTTTCAAAAGACACACACACACACACACACACACACACACACACACACTGACGCTGATATAGACAGAGACTGAAGCTCATTTAGTGTCACACATGGCCAGTGTCTCCATTGTAAAGAGTTTTTTCTCTCATATTAAGTACATTACAAAGCGGGGGAGATACATTTGGGGAGAATCTCCACGTGTGCTTATCACCACCTACCTCATCAAATTGATCAGAGTACAGAGCGTACACTAATCAACAAGTGCATTAAGTAAACAACTGGAGCAGTGTTTCCCATATATTGATTTATATACGCCACAATATCAAAATATTGATTTTCTTTTTTACTATTTAAAATGGGTAATATTTTATTTCTTTGTAAAGAGGCACGTAGCACATCAATTCACTCCGCCCCTCCTTGCCCTAGTCTCAGATGATTAGCCCCTCTTCTCCGCGCACACTCTGAGCTGGGCTGTCAAGGTTAGCACGCTGTACATAGCTGCTAGTCAATATTGACTGCTTGTGCAAGTGGAAGTTAATTCTTTAACTGTGACTATGAATGTTTGCTACCTCAATCCAGATGAATACTGAAAAATAAAATGACTCAAAAAACACTTCGGAAGTTGACTGAAAAACCGGCAGCACATGAGGAGATTATAAAACCGGTAACGATCACATCCAAGCGGCAACCGCGTCTGAAAAGTGAAGCCAATGCGGAAGGGACTCCACTGGCTGCACAAAGAAGTGTGATTGTATAGTATCTGAGAAAATGAGGCTACTTCTCAACTGATTTATTCCCTCAGTAAACACTTTCCTAATGAGTTTATGGTCTCAGTCGTTAGTTTCAAGTCTTCTTCAACACAGCATGATGTTCATTTAGTAAATTATGGTCCCATTTAGAGAAACATAGACCAGAAAGCAGGGGAGGCTTTAGGGCAGGGCTACTTTATGATTGACAAGTTGCTATCACAGAGACCTGTCAATCAGGATAGAGGCGACTTGTATCCTCTGCTCTGTGTACATTTAACCAGCGCCATTAAAAAAAAGCTTATTAGGAGTCTGTTCATTTTTTCACACACACACACACACACACACACACACACACACACACACACACACACACACACACACACACACACACTCTCTCTCTCTCTCTCTCTCTGTGTCATAATAAGAGTCAGGATGAGATAATCAAAAACAGAATTTTCCATCAGCTGAAAGACCCCACAGATAATCGCTAATTCGCTGGACAAATGAATGAAGACTGAAGTATCAACCATCATGTTACTCCATGTATGCGTGTGTGTGTACCTCTGTGTAAGGTGTAGTTGTTCTCTCTTTGCAGTGTGGCGTTACAGCTTCCAGTCTGCGGGTCACATGGACACAGGTTGTCACAGTGACACTCCTGAGCGCAGGACGGACCAAAGAAACCCAGAGGACACACTGACACAGAGAGAGGAAGTGAACCAACATTTTTTATAATAGAGTGAAACCAAAATGGAAATCTTTACAGTTCAGAGGATGAATTATTAAATGATTCAATGGGAAAGCTCTTCTTCTGGTCACGTAGTTCTACCTTGTTCACAGGTCTTGCCGTGGAAACCCGAGGGGCAAATGCAGTGTCCGTGGACAGGGTCGCAGGAACCGCCATTGACACAGGTGCAGGTCTGATTGCAGCCATCACCATAGAAACCTGGGAGGCATTCTTTATATAGAAAAAAAGAGAGCAAAGTTTAAACAACAAGCGTCAACAGCCATGCAAGCAGCTCTGTGAGCCTGTAGCTGAACGCTAATAATTTAATATTGTAAAGCGGGGGCAACAGAGAATTTATCCTCTCCGCAAACTAAACTCCTTCTCTGTCAGGCCGGTCATCCTGTGTAGATTCTATCAGTCTTTTATTGAGTATTTTTCTTTTATCTGTTGGTTTCACAATCTGACAGGTAAAGACAAGAACATCCTGAACAACATTGTAAAAATGTGTTCTAAAATCATCGGTGTGAAACAGAGAGACCTTAATGTCTTCTGCAACCAACAAATAGTCCGGAAGGCAGCAAGTATCCAAGCCTCTCCGGGACACGCTGTGGCAGGTGAATTCTCTCTGTTGCCTTCTGGGCGTCATTATGCACTTCCTGTGTGTAAGACGAACCACTACTCCAAATCTTTTATCCCTTCAGCGATCAAACTTTTAAATTCCCTTTAGGGTTCTTTGGGGTTTTTAAAATGTGCACATACTGGCTCCTTGTTTGTTCTGAATAATGTGTGTGATTTGTGTTGTGTACTGTTGCAAACATGCTGCTCTTAACTAATTGCCCCATGTGAGATTATTAAAGTTGATTGAATATCAGCAACTAACATGCTCACAATAACAACGCTAACGCGCTAATCTTTAGCAGGTATAATGTTTACCATGTTCACCATATTAGTTTAGTGTGTTATCGTGCTCAACATGTGCTAATTAGCAGTAAACACATTGTACAGCTGAGGCTGATGGGTATGTCATTAGTTCTGCAGGTGCTTGGTCATAAACCACAGTGTTGGACAATTTGAAATTTTGACATGATGATGGCTCTTGATCAAATGTCAGTGGTTCACAAAATTAATTACAGTTTATCCTAATAGGGGGAACATGAATGTCTTCATTTCATGGCAATCCATTCAATAGTTGTTGAGATATTTCACTCAAAATCATCAGTAGGATTCATCCACTGGGGACCAGGAAAGTCTGCGCAAAACGTCCTAATCCATCAAAGCGTTGTCGAGATATTTAGTCCAAAATGGTGGACCGACTGCAAACCCACTGCTGCTAGCTTGGCTAAAGATTGTTTTAATGGTATGAGAAGACACAAATGCAAAGGTAGTAAATAGAGCAAAGCAGAATTAAACACCTGGTTTGCATTGTACACATAATCACATAGATTCTTCTTGTTAATACGGCTGACTTTTCCAGTGTACACGTACTGTGTGTAAAAACTATGCCGGAAGGTCGGCGGTTCGATCCCTGGCTCCCCCTGGTTGCGTGTTGAAGTGTCCTTGGGCAAGATACTGAACCCCGATTTGCCCCTGGTGGCTATTCCGCCAGTGTATGAATGAGTGTGAATGTTAGTTTCCGTTTGAGCACTTAGGCTCAGTGTATGAATGTGTGTGACTGGTGAATGCAGATGTAGTGTAAAAGCGCTTTGAGTGGTCGAAAAGACTAGAAAGGCGCTATACAAGTACGGAGCATTTACATTTACATTCAAATGCTGGATTCTCTTTCTTTTGTTCTTGAGCTCTCTCTCCCTCCTTGGACAAGCTCCATGCTGGCCTCGCTTCACTGGCTCCCGGTCCATTTTAGAATACATTTTCAGATCTTACTGTTTGTTTTTAAGTCACTGAATGGGTTGACACCTCACAACATCTCTGACCTCTTACAAGTCTACACCCCCCCACGGTCACTTAGGTCTACTGACCAACTTGGTTGGTGGTTGTTCCAAAAACCTGGTTACAAACCAGGGGCGACCGTGCTTTTTCAGCAGCAGCCCCTAAACTGTGGAATGAGCTACCTCTACAGGTCAAATTGGCTCTGACCCTCAAATGTTTCAAATCCCATCTTAAGTGAGTTTTTATGTTTTATTTCTTGTTCAGCACTTTGTAAACCTTTGTTTTTTAAATGTGCTATATAAATAAAATGGATTAGATTGGATTTCTTGGCTGCTCTTTCTCCTGGGCCTCATTTGGTTACCCTCCTAAATATTAAAAATATAAATGACAATATGATTAAGCTTTATAGATGTGTGTATGTGTGTGTTTGGGAACAGATTAGGCTCCTGATTACCTTGGCTGCAGTTCTTTCCTCTCCAGCCAGCATCACAGACGCAGCCATCTGCAGCACAGAAAAGACAGACATATAAACATGAAACCGTGAGTCCACAACCAGCGATAGAAGAAGTACTCAGATCCTTTACTAAAGTAATAGTAGCAATACCACAGTGTAGAAATATTCTGTATATAAGAAATTGACGTAGTCACTGTGACGTCACCCGCTGGTTTGTGGACTGCCGTTTTGAAGCCTCGAGTTTGGCCAATAGGGCGCTGCCATGTTCATTTTTTGCAACCAGCGACATCGGACGTGACCATATTTGGACGAGATGGTGGAGCTAACGGCCGTGTGCGGAGCTAGCTAGCTTGCTTAGCTAGGTGCATCTGTAAATCACGTTAAGTGTAATTTTAACAGGGCTGATAATTTTGTCAATAATAGCCTACTGTGAGAGTTATAACTTTATGGGATTGGAAAAGGGAACACAAGGTATAATTTTTCGATAGGGCAGAGCAACTGATAGATTCTGCTATCGATTTGCGCTACGGTAGCATTTTTCGACAAGGCAGCATATATCGTCAGAACACCGGAAGCTTCCCGCTTGATTACAAGCAAATGTCATGCAATCAAACAAATTGAATTACAAAAGTGTTAGCATCAAAATATGCTTAAAGGTGTGGAAGAATTGCAAGACTTTGACTACCTGTCAAATTCATTCTCCAGACAAACAGTAGTATCATAAGAATATTCGCTAACTAACTGATGCTAATGTCACTGAATAAAGTATTGGGATGATTTACAGTGGCTCTGAACAGGACAGGAAGCAAAGGAACTTTAAATTAAGAGATTTGTGAATGGAATTTGGTGTGATGATCTATGATTAAAGGCGAGAAAGGAGCGTGTCAGGACTAATGCTACGATCCTCTCCTGATAACCTCTAAGTGGTATTACAACACAGGAAGGGCTGAGGCTAGTGCGTTAGCATGCTACCTTCAGGAAATATATATCCAACATAATACATAAATAGATCACACATGACAGAAGGGCATGGCAAATCTCTGGTATATAAAAATGAAAGTAAATCTTGAGTTGCATAATGGAAGAGACACATGCAGCTGTTTTAAATCGTGTATTTTAGTATATTTTCCTCTTCTTATTCCTTTCATTACTAATATTCCTTTAGTGTAATGGTGTCTATGATTGTTCTTGTTACTATGCTTTCATTTTCAACTATGACTTTATCTAAGCTACTCTGAGATTTACACTTGGTTGGTGTTTTATGAGGTAGACCTAGCTTAAAGTAATACAGTTTAATACAGCTGCCTTGAAAAAAATCCTCCTTCAGTTTGTGCTGCAGAAAAGTGTTGATCCACTTATGGTAATTTTAGAGGCTGCATGCTGTGTTGCCGTTGAATTATTACAAGTTATACTGAGAGGTGTTTCTTATATTTTGTCCACCCCATTTATATCAGTGCGGTAAATATTAAAAACACCTCTAGATATAATGTAATACAATACCTCCAGAGATCATCCTGGTTATATAACACACACACAAACCCATAAAATAAAAATAATCCTGTTTGTAGTCCAACCACTTGTTCTCCACCACCTGCTGCAGCGGAGCTCCACCTCCACACTTACTGGCAGTGCAGACACCGTGTGGGCCGCAGGTTGGCGGCTGGCACACCAGAGAGTCACAGGCGGCGCCCTGCCAGCCCTCCTGACACTGACAGCGTCCGTCCACGCAGTCTCCGTGTCCGCTGCAGTTTGCCGGCTGGCAGCGCCGCAGGTGAACACACAGGACGGTGGAGACACGGCGGCCACAGCGCCACCTGCTGTCTGCTTGACTGTGAGGGGAGGATGAATGATGAGGACAAAAAGTAACAGGTCACATTGTAACAGACGACAGATCCAGAGCACTAAAGCTCAAAAGATGAATTAGCCTGTCACTGTAAAATTTCATGGAGAATTAGCAGGCCTTACGTAAAGAACAAAGTGAAGTAAAGACTTTATTCTTTATGTTTGAATGATTAATTGGCTCACCAGTGATCCGAGGGGTAGCTGGCCAATGAGCCATCAATCACGAAGGTGGAAGACCCGCCTCCATCCAGATTGATGGCATTGACGACTCCGTAGGACTTCAGAAACTCAGCCACCTCCCGAAGGTTCATACTGTACAGAGACACACAATAACAAAAAGAGAGGTACAAATTAAGTGACCATAAAAGCGTTTTGTATTTTTACAAAAAATGCACCGAAATGAAAATTCTTGGCCCGAAGCCAAAACCGAATTTAATGAAAAAATTTGCCCGAACACAGAAGAAGTACATTCACATTTATAACATTTATATTGCGTGTGGTTCTCGTATGGCGTAACATGAAGACTTCACAGCCTCTCTTCAGGTAGGACTCTCATACTGCAACACTTGTCTTTGTAAAGAGACAAACTGACAGGATAAAGTCTCTAACCTGCCTGTCAGCTCGCTCTAGGCCGTTTCAGGGTAATTACCATAAAGGTGCAAATACGTGTGCACTCCAAATTTAGGTGCGGCTAGCTTAATCGCCTTCTCTTGCCACAGATAGAGTGGATGTCCTAGAAGACAATTCAGCAGAACAAAGTCTGAAAACGTCTTTCTCTGACACTTTAAAATGCGTCCACACTGCCGACATGTCAACGTAATTGTTTGGTAAAATTTAATTCGGTCTTTTGACTTATTAGGCCAAACACTGAAAGTGCTTTTTGTGCTGTTTTCGGTAAAACAAGTAATTTTGGTGTCAGAACATTCGGTGCATCCCTACTAGCAGCATAGTATTAGGGATAGCAATGTTGCCAAGAAAGACATTCATGGTCCCCTGGGGATGAAACTATTGACTAAACTGATCCCGTGACTTTTCATGGAGAGCAACCAACACTACAGCTCATGACAAGACACCTCTTCAGCTGATGGCCGAATTCCTGTCAGCCTCATCTGTACTTTGCTAACATGCTAATATAAGAATGTAAAATTGCCAACATACTAATGCTATGGCGGTTTTTGGGGGGAGCCAACAATAATTATAGTAATATATCTAACTTGCGACAATATGGCTCTGATGCAAGAGGCGGAACATATGTCTCTCAACTAGTCGGATCCCTTTGGACGTTAGTCATCCCTGATAGAAAGTGTTCGCCATGACGCAGGAGCACGCGTGCATTCAACGTTAAGGCGGACTTCACAAAAGTAAACGAAAATTATAACATGTGGACGACTGTGTACTCGTTTTAGTATTGTTTTATCAACGAGGTTTTTGCAGAGCAAGCTAGCACACGGATTATAAGAACACTTTTATGGGCTAACGTTACGTGTTATTAAATGTATTATTCATTGCACTGAATTGAGAATGTCTAATCGAAAGCATATAGGTTCCCTTGTAAAGCAAACATTTATTTCCTGATAGTCTGACGATGATATAACTGACCACATAGTTGATCACTTAGTCATCCATGTTACTGTTTGGAAGCTAGATCTAAACAGACTGTCCCCTTTATCAAGCAACCTGCTCCTACAAATATCTATGCCATCGATACTGTAAAATCAAAATCACTGTAATCATTTAACACATTGCTTGCCTCAAAGTTACATCTACTTGACTTGAAATGTACATTAAACTGAATGCAACATTGTAGACAATATTTTGTCCTTGTGTGAAATTTGTGTTGTTTCTATTGCATGGATAGCCTTTGGTTATTGCTGGAAAGTCCCCCTCCTTAAAGGGTAAATTTGCCAAAATGCCAAAATATGTATCCCCCTCCATAATGCACAGATGATGGCCTACTATCAAGTATTCGATTTTGTGTACACTTCATTTCATGACTAATAGCAGAGTTGAATATGGAGACGTCTGTTGTTTCCTAGCAGAAGTTATAGTGGGATACATATTTTTTCAGACTGTATTTTCAACCTGCCATTAAACGTATCCCCCCTTTATAATGCACAGATGACGTTTGTTGTTTCTTAGCAAAAGTTATAGTGGGATACAAAAGTACAATAGAACTTTTACTGTTCATTAAACCTTACAAAGAAGTGTATCAAATAAAGTACTGCAATTTGAGCGAACGTTTTTTTTTTGAATAACGTAATTTAATAAAACTATAACCAAGTTACTGAAATGAGAACCTGTTACTGAAACAAATAACTGTAAGTTACTTAAACATACTAAAACATTACATTATATACTAAACAAGACAGTTTGAAAGCTTGAACATTGCCTTTGTCTCTTTTGTCCCGGTTTGAATGTACCCTCTGACAAAACAATAAATGTAAATATATATATACACACGAGTCTTTCACATTTGCTAGCTTTCAAGGCAGCATAAATGTTAGCACAATAAACTCCACATATTGTAATGCTAATAGGCTATCATGATAGACTATTATATACTAAAGGTTTAGCGTACAAGCATGCTAACTGTAAGGGTCAATACCAATCCTTATTTTTACACCCACCCCTTATTTTCGAGTGTACCCCTTGCCCCTGGAAATGGAGTTACAAGGGGTAGTGGTTAATAATTCCCTCTAGAAAATGGGACAACCCTTCAAGAACCTGATACGTCGTCAGTAGTCGATGATGGCCCTTGCGTTACCAGACACTACAAGTATTTGCTGGACTTCTCTATGAAAACGTTTCAAATATGCCGTCCTCTGCTGTGGTGATCTCTCTCATGTGGGCTATAAGCATCATTCTGCGGATGTCTGCCGCATATCGGACAACAAAACAAAGGCGTCGTCAACTCCTGTGAATGCTGATGGATATGTTTGTGGTTTGTAGGTAAAGACTCTATTTTTGAATGCAGCATTCTAGCTACAATATAACATAAAGTGAGTGACTTTGGACATGTTAATTGCATTCTGGGAGCTTTCTTGCAGCCCTGCGTTTGGAGTGTGTTCAAAAATCTCTGCTTCGAGTGCTATGTAGCCCTACAGCTTCGCCCTACCCCTGTATCTCAACAAGAATGTGGCGGGGGAAAAGACTGAAATGGGATTCGGTATGTTAACAACCAGCTTACAGCAGAGCTGAACTGAGGCTGAGTTGGGCCTGACAAGCAGAGGCACAGATGTCCTAAAAAGGCCACCGAGATTAAACCCTTTGGATTTAGGACACATGGCCTTTCCTCTGGTGATGCCATCCAGCGGAAATTGTCATTTTTTTCCCCAGAAGTGGTAAAGCTGCGTTACAGTAACTTTTAATAAAAATGGGATCTTGGTGTGATTTATCCAGTCCATCAATAAGGGCAAGGTTGGATTAATGAGGCAAAGCTGCAACTGCCACAAGGCCCCAGACCCAGAGGTTGATTTCTGGATCTCTGGGCATCTCATAAAAATACATAAAACATCTCAGGGTGGTCTCATATTTTAATCTGTCCAAGCACATGTCGACGTCCTCTGCGGGTGAAAGTGGATTAAAGCTTTTATAAAATGACGCGCAGTGCTGAACCCCATTGATCACTATGCAGAACCAAACTCTAATGTGAAAACACTCAAACGAATGATGCGCTCAAAGGGCAGTTTATTCTTGAGACTGAGGGTCGGTCTGTGAGCTGGAGGTCGTTGTTTGGTGCGAGCTGACTTTGACACGTTTTTATTGAGCGGCTTGTAGTCTGATATTGAGTGGAGATACACAGAGGGGCAGCAGACATGTTCAGACAAGTCAGCCTGTTGTTTTTTTCAAAGCCAGGTCATTAACACAAACACATTAATCTCCAGGGCTGCTGCAGGTCTGTAGGGAGGGAGGGAGAGTCGGATCAATCCAATCGATTGGTGGGGAGATCTTATTGGGTTGAGGGTGACGTGAGCCTCTAGCGTATTAGTTCATCTAACAAACGAACCCCTTTGCTGTAGCCACATTTATCACTTTCACCATCAAGTTGTTTTTATTCCCCACCCTCTCTGGCACCTCCCTTCTTTAGAGTTTTCCTCCTTACCTCCACCAGCTCAGTGTTTACTGCTCTTTGTCTTTCCAAGCAGCCTTGTGTCTCCCTATTGTTATCTATTAAAGATTTTTTACAACAAATTTACTACGCCTAGTCGTTTGATGGATCCATTTCCCCATTATCATTTACTGCTGCGAGGCTCGCTGTCGTCTAGGATTCCTCTTAGCTATATTAAAACCTGGATGTTTATCTTGTGTGTTGTCCATTACACAGTTCCATTAAAGCAAGCTATATTCAAACAATAAAAATGAGTTGAGGTTGTAAAGACAGATTTGTTAATATGAGGAGCAGCACTCATATTGAGAGGAGTCATTATTCACCATTTTAGAATCCATGAATTAACACTATTTTTTCTACGCATTATTCTTTTTCAGTTGCATCATTGCAATAATATCCTATTTTCATCTTACAACCTTTGATATTAAAGGAGCAGATTTTAAGAGCTAGACATGGTCATGAATGTGACACACTGAATGTAAAATATTCACCCAGCCAAGAGGCCTTTTGCAACCAGCAAATACCAGTAATCCCAGGTTGAATCTACCCTCCAAAAACAAAGCTGCGTTTGTGCCCCTAACAAGCTCCAATTTGCTGTGTACATGTCTACACGCCATGCCCATTCAGCTAATAACTGTCACATCCTTCTGAATCTGCAGTATTTTAGGGAGATGCATGTTTTGTATGTGGGGAAATGTTCTGTTTGTCTGCAGTAACAAAATGAGTTTGTGATCCCGAAGCCTGTTTCACTGGTATTACTGCTATTTTTTGGTTAAGACGGTTGTTTCCTCGTAACATCAAAACTACCAGAAAGCAGGCAGAACAGGTTGAATAAGATTATTTGTGAGTTCAGATGATCACATTTCAGTTTCTGTTTGCTTGTTTTTTTGTGCTTTTATATATTGTCTTTTTGGTGTGCATGTGCCAATTTATGACCGGTAATGAAAAGCGCTGGCAGCATGTGGCTCTAAGGCTTCAGCTCTGGGCTTTTAACAATAGTATACTATAACATTAGTGTCTGTAGTATTTAGTTTTAAAAACTGTCAAGTATCTAAAGTTAGCATTGATTGCTTAGTTAGATTTTTTGTCTTGTTTACTTATTTTTTGTTCATATACGTATCGATCTTAATAAGGAAACTTAACATTTTAGACAGTATTTTATTTCTGAAAAGTTGGAAATGCAATGGGCTGAAACGATTCATCGATTAAATCGATAAATAAAATCCATTGACACAAATTCTTTGCATCGATGCTTCGTTTAATCCATGTAGCTATACAGCACAGTGTTTCGCAGGGACATTTATTACTGTCGCACATCACGTTTACGCTGTAAACATGACGCGATTATAATGGAGCTGTTTGCGAAGTGGAGGAAGAGAGAGAAAACAGCAAGGGACAAAGAAGAAAGTGTCCAAAGTATGGGATTATTTCAAGCCAAAGAAAACAACAACTCTGTAATGTTACAGTCCGTCCACCGGCAACAGCACGACGGCAGCTGATCAAAGCAGCCGGTGTTCTGCCAGCGGACCACAGACAAGGTAACAGTAACAGCTACTTGAAATCCTGATTGATTGTTGAGTTGAAGCCAAAGTAAGCCGCAGGCCTCAGGTGAAAATGTGCACACGTGAGTTTGTTGTTCTCCTTTTTGGGCCGTGAGTTGTGACCTCACAGTCAGGAATTAACTGGGTGTCGGGAGCTGCACCTTTTAACTCCCCTCCAGCTCTCTGTAGCTCAGACAATCCCTGCTGCCTGCGTGTACTAATCCATCCTTTCACCCAGATTCTTTGTCTTTATAATCGCCATCTTTATAATTTCTTGATAAAAGTGGTTTGGAAAACAGCGTCGGGTGCCATAGCTGGGGGGGTGGGGCACTTAAACGACGCATCGATGAATCGTTGAAATAATCTAAAATCATCGTTAGCTGCAGCCCTACAGTGGAGTAAGCTGGTTCCTGTAAATCTGTGTATTCATGTAGCACGATCAGTAATCACGTTTCTCCCGTACCCCTGACCTTATCTGGCATTTTATAACTGTCCTGAAGCTGATTCTGTTTCAGTTACACTTTGGATTAGGGCTGGACAAGTAATCGAATTGAAAAGTAATCGAAACCGAAATTCAGAGCCTCTAACCAACGTTTTTTTATAAATATTTTCCCTACAGTGTGTTCATGTACAGTCCCCTTAAAAACATACTACTCTGTGTGTGTGTGTGTGTGTGTGTGTGTGAACGTGATTCCATCCCTTCCAGTCGTGCTGAGCTTCCAGACTGGAGTCAGGCAGATGTTAGCTAGCTTTCCAGCAGTTGGCAAAACAACAGACATCCATTTTACTAACGGACATGCTGTGACCTACACTGTACATTTACTGCCAGACTGACAACAAACTCGCTTGCTTTTTGTCACTTTTCTGCCGCTCACTTTCACTACGAACACACACTGCACTCCCTGAAATACCTAACTCCGCTGCTCTTATAACAGCAGTTGTGTGGATGAACGTCAACATTACCTTTTCAATTAACATTTCGATTTTTAAATTCTGTGAATCAAAAAATTAACTAAACCAAGCTTTAATAATTGAGCATTTTACAATACAAACCTTTTCAGTGAGATATGAGGGCAAAAAACCAGCAATAAAAAACAACATTCAAAAACAAAATAATCGCTCAGTAATCGTAATCGTTCCAGTCATCGTGATTTTGATTTTAGGTCAACTCGTCCAGCCCTAGTCTGGATGGAATCATTTCAAGGACAATGAATAAATCTATCCTTTCGGACAGCCAGTCTGCAGTTACTTTCTCTGTCTGCAGTCTTTTTTCATGCACATGCTAACTTGTTTAAAGCTTATTAGATAACCTGGTTACTTGTATAACTGGGAAGCAAGGTAAGGATGTCTGGCACAGCTTGTATAAAGAGCAACTTCATCAGGGTCAGGTATATTAATGTCTGTCCTGGTATATCTGGTGATCCATTTTAGAATTCTGCAGAGAAACAGAGAGATTTTATCTAGTATTACATTACGACGCCGTCACGGTTGGTATTTTACAAGCAGGACCCAGGTAAAGCAACACTGCAGATGTCATTCAGTACTAGGGATGGGTATGGGTATCACATCAATCAAACGCTTTTGTGGCGCAGCAGCGATCAGCTGATGTTACTCACAGAGCCTCCGGCTGCAGTTGCAGCTGCTTCAGGTGTAGTTTGATCGGCTGGATGTGCAGATTCTCTTTTCCTTTATTTGTGAGTCTTTAGTGTAGTTTAGTGACTTATTTAAACAGACTCTTTACTCGTTTTATATTTGTGACTGTCGTTTTTGGAGGTTTTGCGACTCACCAATTCAGTTTATTGATCGAAGGTTAACAAAATAATTTTCCGTTGTTTACTTTCAACACACGTATCAAAAAATAACCTTAAATTTGGTCACTAAAATAATTTCATTCCTCTCTCATTCAAATATAAAAAAACTTGAAAGCTGTAGTCTTCCCCGTATAATACTACCAGTGAGGATTAACTACTGTAATTAGGATGAGGAGCGATCTGATACAGTTTCCCAATACATTTATGTAACATTTATTAGCAACAAGAAAAAAAAATATATAGATCACCTTGCTTGTCCATAACAACAATAAAAATAATAATAGGCTACCAATCAACTACTATGGCTTCAACAGGTACCATTTTATGCAGGGTATCGAATGAAGTACTGGTAGTACTGGTATCGGCGTCAATTCAAGGGTACTGGTTTTGGTACTGGTATCGTAAAATTTTCAACGATACCCAAACCTATTCAGTACCATGTTAGTTTTGATCATTTCAGAGCCTTCTTCACATGTGGCGTGCCTGCTGCTGTGAAAACGGAAATATCCAAAGACGAGTTCTGTATCTTTTCGGCGACTTTATAAAACATATCGCCGAAGTCAGCAGAAGAGGCACATACAGGGAGAGAGAGACAGGAAGAGGCGGGGCAAGCAGGTGTTTTCTGCAATAAGAGACCAGAGGTGTAGGTGTGTGGCAAGAGGAGAACATCAAGTAGTGAGTAAACACTAAAATAAGGTGGACAATGAAATAGAATTAAAATGGTGAAATAGGAAATAAGAGAAATATACCCCACTTTACAGCACACATGTATTTAAAGTGTTCACCTCTCTCCACACTGTGTGTGGAGAGAAACATTTTTCTCTTTTATTTATGTCTGACCTTTGTTGAGTATTCACTACCTCAGTAGATATAAAATGCTCATTCTAAAGTAAAAAAAACACCTGAAAATGATTATTATTAATTTATTAATTATACACTAATGAAAACTTATGAATGTTACATTTCTGCCGTTAGTTCTGCCAATTTTCTGCTAAATCTAGACACACTGGTCCTTTAACCTAATCATGTCAAACAAAAGATCTGCAATAAATGGTCTTTTCACAGTGAATGGATAAAGAAAACCCAAAGTGCATAGAGCTGTTTTTTGTCTCCATGTTTGGCTCAGAGGAGGTTAAGCCATGCAAATGAAAACCCTGCATATTCAGTTCCTACTCGGGGCACTGTATTGACTCTCACTCTCATTGACTCTCACGGTGTGAGTGACTTTCAGTTAATGGAATAAATTATCATATGTTTTCTTTCAACGTCATCTGTGTCTGCTCTCTCGTTCCTACCCGGAGGGACACTTAACTCTTTCATCCACTTACTGGGTGTTAAAAATAAAATATTACTTCCATTACATTTATGTAGCTGAGTAGATATACAGTTTGGAGGAGAACAGGAGTCAGTTGCTCTGGATAAAAGCATCGGGTTAAACATCCTTCAGCTCTGTACATTTCTTACCCCCTTTTTCCAGTCTGTCCATCAATCTGAAACAGGATCAGGTTGCCGTCGGCATCGTGGCCCACCGCCGTCCTGGCTGACACCACATCCACAAAATCGCGGAATTTCCCTGTGAAAGTACATGACAAAGGTTTCTGTGTGAAAAGATCTATACTTCTTTTCTTACTTCTAATAAACCAGTCGACTACTACTACTAATGTTATTTCTTCTTTGTACAAATTCAATGCAGTGACGAAACGCGCTCTGTAGAGCAGTTTGTCCGTTTGAGCTACTGTAGAAACATGGCTGCGCAACATGGTGACGTCCATGTAAGAGGACCTGCAGTGTATGTAGATAGAAATGTCTCATTCTAAGGTAATAAAAACAAAACGGTTCATTATGTAAGGTCTTTATACACCACTGAAAACATAGTTATGGATATTATTTTGCATTTCTGTCGATAGATCCTCCTTATTATTACACACTGGACCTTTAAGAGCATCCAGAAGTCTGACACTTCCTGAGAGCATCCATGGATCCAGCCACTGAGTTGCAACAATGTCAGGCTATCTGCACTAGAAATGTCAAAAACAAACCGGACTAATAAATAAGTCTGTCCACATCCTTTTCTGTTTTAGATCGAGAGGAGAAGGAGCTGATTCAAGCATCAAATACAAAGTCATATACTGATGTTAAATTGTTTTCAAGTCTTGTCTTATACTTTGAACATTTGAACATTAAAAGTTATTGGTCACTGTTATTATTCTTCCTATCCATACTGCCGGCAAAGAGATCATTTGTTAAAGTTCCCAGGCCTCGTTTTGTATGAAAAAAATGGATTCTGTAGTTTATCTGAAGCCAAAATGCGGCGCCAGCAGTCTGAGTCAGTCAAATCAAATGGGTATCTTCCAAAGTTAGTGTTTTTAGTACCTGAGCTTTAGTATAGCGGATGGATAGTAACATAATGAGGGAAATGTGTACTAAAAAGACAAACATGTTATTTGTCGAACACAGGTTACTGCAGTACAAGTAGTAGTATAGCACTACAGTGCATTTTTAAACAGACTGAAATCGCTTTAAGGAAAGGGATCTCTTTGGAGCCAATTTGAACAAGAGGAATAATAACAGCAGTTTCTTTCAATGTACATATGGGCACGTGAGTATTGTTTAAGGACAAAGTCTATAAAATGTGAACCTATCCTTTAACAAAGCTCCACTGATTATAATGCAATCTTCTTGGCTTTAATGTTAAGGCTCACTTGGTGCGCTTGCTCTTAGGAGTTTATGGTCTCAATGATAATGTTTATTTAGTAAGTTATGGTTCAATTCAGAGGAAAAAGATGATAAAGCAGGGGATGGTTTAGGGGCTGGACACTTGTGATTGACTACCACAGCGACCTGTCAGGCGTAGTAATGCTCATGTCTCCCCGGCTCCACCCTCTCATACATATCTGGTCACTTATGGTTCCACAACGGCGGCCTAAATCGCCAATGGTAGTCCACAAACCAACGGGTGACGTCACGGTGGCTATGCCCACTTCTTTTATACAGTCTATGGTTCAGCTGTATGATGCTGAACAGCTAGGGTTCGGAGCTGCTGCCACTAAAGAGAGAGACGCCATGACCTCGGTATTCTTCTGCAGAGCTGTGGCTTTTAGGGACCTGGAGCTGTTTAAATTCTACAAGTGAAAACGTACACATAGTCATTATTTTACAGGCTGATTGCAGCATTTTGAGACTATATTTTATATGAGAACCTGAGGCTTGCAGGATCTGTGACGTCTTTTAAAACTCTTCTCAATACATACTTCTACAAAACAGCCTTTTTAAAATCCATTTCTATCTTGTCCTATAGGTCCATTTTAACTTTATGACTGCTGCAGAATCTTTTTTCTTTTAACTTAATGTATGTATGTATATATTTAATTTGCCTCTGTATTGAAATGTTTTTAATTTGTGCCAGTAAAAACATGATTTAATATTTCCCTGCCAGTGTTTTATTCCAGGTAGTGTATTTAAGGCTTTGTAAAAACAACTAAGCCTGGATAGGGTTGAGTAAGATAAACTCAGTATTTCTAAAATCCTGCAGCATGCCTGCTTGGTATTCAACAAGGAGGTCTGCTCTTAGTGATGTTGGACTTGTGAGGTTTAAATCCACACATCCAATCTGAAAATACAGGTGAGAAACTTTCTGTGCTCCTTCAGCAACTACTGGCAAACTTCCCCCATCTCCTGCAGGACGAACAGAAGACAACTGTGGATGCATTTGGCAACTCTCAGGTGAAAATATGAGGAAGTCTTTGTGTATAAAGTAGAACATTGCTGGAAAAAAACATTTCAGCACAGTTTTGAATAATCTTTTTTTAAAAAGACAAAGCCTGGCTAAGGATGTGATTCTAGCTATACATCAGGGTGTTTTAACCTACTGATACTTTTTTTTTTAGTTGAAAGTATTTTGCTGATTTGCAAATGTCCAAGCACTGAAAATAATAATACAATGTGGGGCAGGCTGCACGCTCCACTGCTTCCACTAGACGTTGACAAAGGTGTGCCTGTACGCCGTACAAAGCGATGCACAGGTATCATTGTTTCTAACCACTATCCATGAGCAAAATTTATAAATAAACTTGATTGGAATATAATGACAAACTATAGGCTATGCTGGACCATTGAAACAGCTTTTTGTGTGGGAGTATGAAGAGACGCACGATAAATTTCATAACTAACTGGATAAAACCATCAAGTTCATCAAGGTTATTAAAACATTTCCAGCCAACAAGCAGCGGATCAACTGCATCACGTCTGTGTCGCCTGAGCGTCGGAGGAACATGATTTTAACAAACTTTACTACCTGTTGTAATCAGCTGTTCAGCTTGTTTTGGAGAGGAGACCGACTTCAGCTCCGTGTAGAAACCTCCTGACTTATGAAAACTTAAAACAACAACTTCAGACCCAGTATTTAGCTAACTCCATCAGCTGTTTCTGAGCAATAAATTGAATGCAGACGTACGATCTCAGGCGGACATCAGCGAGGCTTGTGTGCTATCTGTCTGTTGGTTGCGATTTATTGATTTGCAGTCAACGGTGGAAAAGAGAGGAGCACTTCAGAATTTCACTGCAAGGCTAGCCCTCCTCCCAAAGTACCAGTACTTTCAGAAAGAACTACCCCCCCGAGCAGGGACTTTTTGGGGGGTTAAATGAAGACCCCAGGACTACATTTAGACCCTGGTCCCTTCGGTGGAAACGCAGTGACTTCCTCCAAAGGTTCCTAGTTCCGGGGTAAAGTTCTTTTGGTGGAAACGCAGCTTAATTCTGTGAACAGGTGTTGAATACTACTGTAGTAGTATGTGAAAAACACCGTACTACAAGGCCTCTGTAGCCCGCCCCTCATCTCTTGGCTAGCCTCTACTAGCATAACGCACTCCGTAACTCTACACTTCAATGCAGGCACCAACGTTTGATAAGGAAGAAGAATGCGCTAAATGCTAAATCCCTGGAGTTCTTCATCAGGGTTCAAATGAAGCGACAATACCTGAGCCTGACCTTTTTATGCTTTCATTCGGGGCTGTGACCTGATGGGATAACTTGGACACCAGGTGGGAGAGTTCTGTGTCATTCAGAAGGTTCTTCCCCAAAATTCACAAAGACAAAACTCCCAAAACATTAAAACACAAGCACAAAGGTAGAGACAAACATTGTCAGTGACTCAAATGAAAAACATATGGAAACATGTCTCTGCATTGAAATAAATGAGTCCATCTAGTCCTGGATACACTGTTCCAAATAAGCAACACCATGCCAGCACTGTCTGAAGTGGGTGGATGTTTTATACGGCCATGAGTTCATGCAAAGCTGAGATCAGGTTTCAACTTTATGTAACCAATGACCGATCAGTTCTGGGAACTCTCATCCTTGTTATTTATACTGCACTGTTTATACTGCACTGTGTGCGACGATATGCAGTTAAGGAACTCGATGTGAACTTTGGTTGGTGCACACAGTTTTGCTCTTGTCACTGTTATTCAAACATGGCAGAGTTGTGTTTTTGTGGTGTGATGGAGTCAGGTGAGGTCACAGACAGTTTCTGTGTTATGCAAACACAGCACCGCGGCGCTGCTCGGAGATGTAGTTACACTTAATTACAGCAGAAGCGAAGCTGATCCGGTTTCTACCTCACACCCTGAGCTGAGATCAGGAGAACAGTCAATTTATTGACAATCTGCGTCGGTCACCATGGAAACTTACACCAGGAAACTAACCTGTTATATAAAAAGGTCAACTTTATCTTGGAATGGATGCATTTATATCCAAAGCACTTTACAACTTGTCTGTCATTAAAAATTCAAGAACATTATTGCCATTGTGCAAGAACTCTGAAATTGCATTTGCGTCAGTCTCAAAAGGTGCATTTCTGTTTTCAGACTTCAAAAATATTAACAAAGAATAAATAAAACAGAAATTAGACAAGAAGTAGAAAATATTAGCAAAAGTAAGAACAGAATCTAAGCAATATATACTGTAAAACGTATACGATAGCCTGGGATTTTATTTGCTTCACTCACTCTGCCTATATTTGGGACAGGCCTTTAATTCCTTTTGCACAAAACTAGGCTATTTTCAATTTGTTTATTTCAACCAGTATGAATATTACTGGCATAAAAATTGTTTACCATACCTTTAAATCTGAATTGTTTCTGTAAAATGAACTAAACGATTGAATTGTGTAGAATCTAACCGATGTAACAATGTGTAGCATTTTCATATTGAGAAAAGTTTAAACTTTTATATTTGTATGTGCACGATCAAAGCAGCTTAGCTCAGCAGTAGACCAGGTGGGCTTTAAGAGATTTTAAAGATCCAAAGACCAGGTGTCTAACTGAGACCTGCATTTATTTATAAAAACACTTACATCCTGTGTCCTCCATTTATGATTATGTGCGAATGTTTTTTAATGTTTTCTGTATGCCTGTGCTTTAATGTTTTTCTTATGCCATCAGCCTGCTAGGGACTCCAGATGAAAATTAGTCTGTGCGGCTCATTTACATTTTGGACATTGGTGGTGAGTAGTTTTACAGGTAGTATAAAATACAGTTAACATCAAATACAAATACGAGGGTGCAAAAAACATCAGCGGCAAAAGTGCAGTAAAGATATGGAGTGATGGGGTATTGGGGTGTTGAAGAACACGTTTGGTTGGTGTAGAATAAATGCACATAATCAGTAAGTAAATATTGCACGTGCTCCAATGATGGCAGCACATCAGTCTTATCTCCTGAGTTAACAGATCTTTAGTGTTTGATTGGCCAGAAAACATGCAGACTCTTCCTGGCTAAACCCTGCTGGCTGTAAGGAAGCCGTTTCTTGTTTTCCCCCTTGTAGGTGAATGTACAGCATGTACCTGTCTCCTGCGTCTTGTCGCACTCGGCCGTCAGGCTCTGGTTGATGTACACCTCGCCGTTCCTCAACAGCCACACCACACCGCTGACCAGCTGGACAAATGGGTTAGACTGGTCCAAAACGTCTTCCTGTGACAGATACCTAGGTAAAAGGAGGGGAAACAGAAAATCCAGACATGAGTATCTGACTGTTTACCGCCATTTTAATGTTTCTAAAACGGTTACCTTTGCAATTCAGAAATATGCTAACACTGTAGCTTTATGGGTGGCAATGTCTGTCTGTCAGCTGACCACTTTGCTCCAGAATGAAATTTCTCAAACTTTTGGGTGGATTGGCATGAAATGTGGTTCAGTTCCACCTCAGGATAACACTGGTGATCATCTGACTTTTCTCTAGCGCCACCATCAGGTCAACATGTATTGTACGTGTGGGCTGTAATAAGTCATTTTATGTAATTTTAAATCTTTATTGTAGGTTGCCTTTTTAATAACTGGCCATTGCCAAAAGATGGAAATTAGCCTGTTAAGCTAACTCTGGCTCAGTTAGTTATTTTACTGTTAATTCAGATCACTGTCCCTGTCAAATAAACAAATAAATGAAACATGTTAATTTGTTTTATAACCAAACACCTGCAAAACTAATGACATTCCCATTAGCCTGAGCTGTACGCTGTGTTGAGTTTACTAATAAGCAAATGTTGGCATGGTAAACTAAGATGGTGTACACAGTAAACATAAGTCAATTCAATTTTATGTTTATTAAAAAATATTTTGCCAATATTACAAATTTGCCTCAAGGGGCTTTACAATGACTAAACCCTCTGTCCTTTATCCCTCAATTCACATAATGAGACACATAATGAGACAAAGGTGAAAAAAAAATAAAAAAAAAATAAAGGAAAATGGAAGAAACTTCAGTAAAAGCAACAGTGAAAGGGACCCCTCTCCCAGGACAGACAGACAGGTAATAGATTATGTCTGAGCAAGCAGAAACACACACCCACAAGTAGCTATTAAAAGTGACTGCACTGAAGTTGTAAACGGTTATAAATATGTAGGGAGAGTAACTGATGTGAAACTGTCCTGGAACATATTCTGGTTCTTTCTATCCTTCATTTATGGAGGTCAAGGTAGCTTTTTTCTTCTCCTGTAAGAAAAAATTAGGATTAGACAATGCTGCATTTCTTGCGTGGTATTTTTCACTATCTATAGTTAACAAGAACAAAGTATTAACAATATGTCCAGTAGGTCAACAACAGCACAGTGTGACGCTGCTTAGTGAGTCCAGAGTGGTGAAGAAAGGGTCGGCAGTCCTCAGTCCACATTTTGGAGTGGCCTTTTATTGTGGTTGGCCTAAGGCCCACCTGTGCGATCCCTATCTTGATATGCCACACCTGTGAGGTGGATGGATTATCTCGGCAAAGGAGAAGTGCTCACTAACACAGATTTTGACAGATTTGTGAATAATGTTTGAGAGAAATAGGCCTTTTGTTAGATTTTTGACTTCAGCTCATGATGAATGGGGGCAAAAACAAAAGTGTTGCGTTTATATTTCGTTCAGTATAATTATGAGCAACAAAGAGAACTGCAAACTGAATGAACAGGGAGTTTTCTATTTCCTTGTTACTCAGCAGACAAACACCATCACACCTCGTTAAAAAAACTCCTCCTTAAGTCAGTTTGGACTGCTGCTCTTTAAAACTTTAACCCAGCTCCAGTTGTTTAAACTGATGTGTTGGCAGCTGGCTTGATGCCACAGGTGCAGTTAAACAACTCTGACCGCTGTGACCTCTCTGGTTATTTTTACTTCTATGATGTTATCTTAACCTACATTACATCATCTAACCTTAAATTACAGCCAGATCAACCAGCCAAGTGTTTTTAAGTAAAACTCTACTGTTTGTCTGGTATGATAGTGAAACAATTATATAAACTATTTTTTTTGTTTATTTCAGTGTGTTTAGATAATGGTTATCAGCTAGCATGCTGTGTTGAATGCTGTCTTGTCTGTCCTGCACTATGAGCTCATCAAGGCAAGTAACACCTCTAAAATGTTGTTGTAATGACAATAAAGTTAACTCAAAGTCCAAAGGCATTTAAACCAGTAAGTGAAAATGAACATCTCCTCTAAACACCTTCATGTTTTTTCAGGTGGCTCCGGTTTTGTATCACACTAACTGGCACTAAACTTTTTCCTTCAGGCCTATTTCACAGCAGATATTTTGAATTATCATACCAGGAAGAGTACAGGCGGTGCTATGTCATGTCATAAAAAAAGCATGTCTCAGTTTATCATATTTATATATTATATTTTGTCAATCTATTCCATATTTATATATTTCTACATTTTAGCACCTTATCTCCAAAGCAAATTCCTCGTACGTGTAAAAACTACTTGGCAATAAAGCATTTTCTGATTCAAGTGCAGCTATTAGGGACGAAAGTAGCACGGCAATTTTCTCCGAGCCCGTACAAGTCTGATATGCTAAACTATGTCAGCACGTGTGGTAAGCAATACTACAACCGCAAAATATCGGGTGTATACGTCACACTTCCAATCACGCAAAGTAAATTCACTCGAGCTGTAATTTTTGACGATAAGTTGTGTTTATTGTTTCATGTGTCAAGTTTAACAGTCAGAAAGAAGTCAGGACGATTCAAACACTTGTTTCTTTCGTCCCCCTACTGTGGTCGCACTGTGTGTGAAACCAGAAGTGATTGGTTGACCTCATCTTTTATAAAAAAAATTTTATTATATTTTACTGTAAGTAACTCAATATGATTTGAAGCAGGAATTTAAGGATAGTCTACATTTAAGGCTGATCTACAAAAAAACCCCTCCAAATTAACGTTGATTGTGAGGCCATATATTAAGATAAAGGACATATTTTTGCAATTATATATAAAGAAGGACAATGTCAGACATTTTAAATAAACAAAATAATAACATAAGCATTTCAAATGCATACCATTGTATTTCTTCAATCTTCCAACTTCAGTCAAATTATACAGAAGTCATTCCATATTTGTACAAAATAGCACCTGGTATTGATCAAACACACATGTGAGATGTTGATCACAACACAAAATAAACATTATCTTTTAAAATGACGTTTATCTGTGTTTCAATCATCCTGGCTCTCCCCTATATTATCATCATTAGTTACACCTTTTTTTGTTTTTGTTTTTTACACACACACACACACACACACACACGAGATTAATACAAAAAATAAAAATACAAACCTAATATCTCACTTTTATAAAATCCTTTTCTAAGAAAGTAACAAAATGTTAAGGCAAAACATTGTTGGATTCACAATAATGTTTAGCAATTCAAAAGTGAAAATATTGTATTTTTTACTTCATATCTGATCCGTGCCACATGTGAATGGGTGATTTCTACTAGGAAAGTGTAAACACAACCCGTCTGTTGCATCACACTGATTTTTTTGTGGATGAAGCAATACTTTTCACTTCAAATCAGAGGTTGGTTTGTTATTAGCCTCGCAGACAGGTTCAGGACAACATGTTTCAAGGACCAAGCAGGACAACGACTGGTTATATCAAAGTTTGTGGTTTCCTGTGTGCAAGGTGTTTTGATGTTTATTTTATTTGAGCCCCACCCCCCACCCCCACCACCCACCCACACTGTCGCAACATGTTTCCTTCTCTTGGGATTACTGACATCAGGTATCAAACAAACAAGTTACCTTGACATTTCATGCTTTATAGTGAAACTGTGCGAACACGTGTTCAGTGTTAAAGTTACCTTATAGCTTTATAAATATCCAGTTCTATATGTAGCAGCTTATTTTGAATGCTGGGTGAATCTTTCATTTGTTGTTTCTGATCTGTGGATTGTTTTTGAGTAGTTCATCAAACTGAAGCTAGGGCTTATAAGTTACTGGTGCATGCCAACAGGAAGTCACTATACTGCAAATGTGGTTTACAGACAAAATGTACGAGGAGGCAAGCGGCATGAGAAGAGATGATATTTTAGAAACGTGAGGTCAGGTGCAGACAAGCAGACAGGGGGGCGACTGAAAGTAGTTTGTGTTTATGCAAAATTTAAGGTTCTGACTGTTTCATGTTCCAACAATGATGATAACTCTAATGAAGAATGGTGGCCCGTGCCTTATCAAAATAAAAGCTGTTTGTATGCTGTTGTAATCCGGTAGCTTCTGTAGTTTGTAAAAAATAAAATCCTGTTGTATTTCCAGGACTCTTTTGTCCCTGATGTGTGTGTAAACCAGTATTTGGCTGCATCAGCATAGTGTCCATTATCACTGTGAGTATTACTGATCTAATTTATTAAGGTTGCACATAGAGATGTGTGATATCTTTCGTCTACGATCAAAAACTCCTCCGTGCATTCACTGCGTCATGCATGCAGCACACGTGTGCTAGAGTTAAACAAGCAACAGCTGCTGAAAACTTCATGAATGAAGTTAAAAATGAGAGAACAAACAGCGCCGGCAGATAAAACACGGAGAGCAGCAGCCTCTCAGTCTAATGTTTCATTGTTATATTGAATTGCTAGACGTGGATCAACCTCCCTCACATGGAGCTGGTTGTTGCTGACCACAAACTAAGCACCACAGGGAATGTCAAGAATATGAAAAGCTTCACAAGTCAGCTGTCCATGACAGGCCTGAGCCAGGCAAGGTACCAGCACAAAAACAAACTCCAGTTCAAATACCGCTACACTGATGATGAGAGAATCAAAGCCACTAAGACAACAGCTAAGACAGAACTCAGGGCTAATATACAGTAGCTGTTAGTGACAGAAGTCAATGAGAAGTCTTGAGAAGCTGCAGTCTTTATTCGCCAGCCACTGTAACTTGCCCCCTACATTTTACCGCTAAACTAAAGGCTTATTGCTGTTCCGCTGCTCTCTGCTGCCATTCATCGGCATTCAAACTAGGCCTGGGCACTAAAACAGTAATAACAGAGCTTCCAACTCTCACGCGTTGAGTGTGACACTCACGCAATTGACACTTTTCACACGCCCTACATCAGTTTTCTCACGCACTGGAAAAACTAATGTAGCCTATAACTGATAGCATCAACTTGGCGCGATTACATTCCGCCCAACTGATGCGACACCGGCAGACGTTTTCACATGAATCGAGCAATCCCGCTCTCGCGCGGTGAGTGGCAGACAGTTTGTGATCGGGTAACGTACGGTTTTGCAATATAAAAATGTATAAGCTGAAGCACAGCCTTGTTCTGTTGAGAATGTGAGCTGCACTGAGCTGCTGCATTAACGTGAGGATTTGTGGTGAAGTGTTTTCAGTCAATTTTGTTTTGCACAGGTCTCAAACAGTCGTCTGTCTGTCAAACAAAGACAAAAAAATACAAAATGCTTGAATTTGTCTAGAATTAAAAAAAAAAAATACAGTCTCTGGTTTGTCAAATAGATTCTGTGTGGGAAGACTCCCCAATACACGGTTAGAGGTTTGGTCAAAATTAAGGCCATCATGCCTGAAGGTTGGCAGGTATCTTGATCACAGTGATCTGACCATGATTATTTACTTGGCATTTCATCTACACATGAATGTGGCTGTTGAACGTTTAAAACAAAATTCCTGAGGATTAAAGAGTGATGACCCCGACCCCTGAGGTGGGATGTGACCCAGAAGGCCTAAAATGAGCCGACCACCGAATCTCACTCCAAACTAAATAGAAAAGTTGGCAGCCTTGTAATAATAATTATTGCTATTTAGTTTTCCAATATAACAATATAAAAAATGTGCAGTACATCGGCAATAAATGTTGCGATTTAATTAATTTAAATCACAAACAAATTTGTACTTAATCTTTCTATTAAAAGGGGCATTATGTAGTTTTCAGTGGCCAATAGCGGTGCGGTTTTAAGATTGCAACCAGTTGTGGCTCGTACGCAAGAACAAGCATGTGCTTCATTTCTAAGCGAGTTTTGAGCCCATTGACAATTATGCAATGAAAATTAATTTCATTGAAAAACTACATATAGCCCCTTTAAGTTATTTATTTTGTTGAGGAACAGGGACTGAAATTTTTTCTTTATCATAATAGTTTTGAATTTTCTGCCTCAGATTCGTGAAGTGATCCACTGTTTGGCCTGAGGTGTTTGTTCTGACCATAAAGAAAAGTTTAAAACCACAATTAACCATCTGATTTCTTCAACTTTCACTCAGGAGCAAAAATCAGCTTTTAAACTGGAAAGAAATAATAATTTTGTCTTCTCCTTCTCTAACACACACATTCAACGCTCACACGTGACTTTTACATACATACATATTTTTGTAGGATGTCAAATAACGTCTAATTATCGTTATGGACAAAATCCCAGAAAATAACTACATATAATTTTTGTCAATATTACACACCCCTAGTTGCACAGTCACCACCGTCCATTCTTTTTCTAACAACCACATTTTTAGACTCATCTGAAACTGAAAAATAATTTAGGATAAACCAGTGTGTACAGGACAGAGCTGTAGGCTACGTCAGTTTAGTAAGTTTGTACCTGATGTTCTCAACATTGGACAAGTAGGCAGTAATAAAGTACAGCTACCAGTTACTTTCTATAAATTGAGATAATGTTAAGTTACATAGCAGCCATAAAACGCAGCCTACTGTAGAAACTTTCCTGCTCAGCTGTGCAGTCTGACGGGATGGAAGATGTTAGCTAGCGCAAACAGGCTTCACTTTTCCAGCAGCAAAATTTAGAGGAAACACAGACCAGTTAGGAGTTACCTTCAGTAACAACTGGTTTACATTAGTCTGCGGTGGTGCAGTGTTTAGCACTGTCGCCTCACAGCAAGAAGGTTGCAGGTTCAAACCCTGGTTGCCCCGGCCTTTCTGTGTGGAGTTTGCATGTCTGTGTGGGTTCCGGGTGCTCTGGCTTCTTCCCACTGTCCAAAGACATGCGGACTAGGTTAATTGGTGACCCTAAAGCTGTGAGTGGTTGGGTGGTCAGGGTGTACCCTGCCTTTCGCCTGTCAGCTGGGATTGCCTCCAGCGACCCTGTACGCAGGATAAGCGGTTGACGATGGGCAAAACATTTTCAACTTATAGTGATTTACAACTTATCACTAGTCGTATGGAATCATGCAGTTTTGGTTTTACTGTTAGAGTTGAGCATGTTTGTTATAATTAAGGTGAAGTGACCCTTTAACATTGGGACATTTGAGTAACTATTTGAGCATCAAAAATCAGAGTTTTGTCAGTGTAACGGTTCCTTGCAGGATCTCTTACCCAAACACCAGGGTGCCGTCCTTCCTGATTCCAAACTGGGCGTTCTGTATCCCAGCACTGTCCTGCACCATCCTGCCGTCACTCACCACGTTGCCCAAACACTGGTCTGATTTTGTGTTGAAGAACCCGGCGTTTTGGGCGTACAGACACCCGGCGGCCTTGGCAGTTTCCTCCACCGAGGCAGTCAGACTCATCCCACATCCGCCCGGCCCACCCGGCTCCAACACTGACACCGTCCTCAGCGGGTCGTGGACCACCGTCATGTGACCTGGGAACCAAGACGCAACGAGATGACATGAAATATCACCACTATTGTATCAGTATCTTCCGAGCTACTACAGTGTCTAGTGAAAAAGGCAGTATGGTCATGTTTCCTTGCTACTTTCCACGCAGACGATGCACTACTGTACATGAAAGATGCCCATTTCTTGTGAACACTTTATGTCAGTTTGCATGAGTGGAGCCAAGGTCAGGGAGTAAATACATAAGGGATCAATAAATCAAGAGGTTCACCAAACAAGGATCGGATCCAGATTCATTGTTTGGTGAACCTCTTGATTTATTGATCCCTTAGTTTATTTATTTAGTCCGGCCCTCCCACTTATTATTATAAAGTTATTTTCTGTTTAATCACTGACCGTAAACCCATCTGGAGGTTCCCGTCACTTTCGATACAAACACAGTGGACTCGGCCACCGGCACCATGCTGTGGTTACTGGAGGGCCAGCTTTCATGGGTGGTGTTGCCGTAAACGACAGCCTGACAGTCTCTGACATGGCGGTGGGAGTGGGATGGGCCGTGGCCGTGGTCGTACGGCAGCAGGACATCATCGACCATAGAAATTCTACAAGGAGAGGAAATGAAGTAAAATATTTTAAAAACAACATTAAGAGAAAAACCACTGAACTGGTACGTGTGATTCTATATTTGTTTGATGTTTATTACTATAACGCGTCATAACTGACGCCCCAGGTGTTTTGACACGATATACCTGTCAAATCCCACTTCTTAATGCTTCTATTGTTGATTGTTTGTTTAGACAGTCCAGACTCAGACAACAGAGAGTCTGGCTTTGAACCTGCAATTAACGCTCAGTAGTCTTAATTTTAGACATTTCAAACAAAATACAGCTATTGTTTTAGCTACAAATTGTTTGCTCACAACAGCTTACAGTAAGCCTGTGCTCTTGCAGCACATTCAATTCTTCACTTAAGAAAAAGTAAAGAAATAACAAGAGAACAAGTTAATATGTTTGTGATTGTGCACCAGTTCCTAATTAATCAATTAATCTAGCAACAAAAATTTAAATTTTTAAGAATTAAGAATTTTGGTACACCATTAACAGTTGACGACTTGTTTTTCATACAACAATTCTGATGGTTCTTTGTTTCCAGCTTCTCAAATGTGAAATAATCGACAGATTAATTTAAATATACAAATAATAGTTGGCTGCCACCCTACTTTAAAGTAATGAATCTTATTTTCAAGAACAATAAGTTATTAAAGTAGAGAGCGCAAAGGTATTTCTGTGTATCTGATTTTCACCTGACAATACATACTAGTAAGAGCTCATAGTTCATATCACATCAGGTAAATACCTAGGGAAGGAAGTAAGAGTTAGCAAAAGCAGTGCAATCAATACAAGACAATGGTAAGGAGATCTTGAAGTTAGAGAGGGACGCCCCTGCTCTGATGGCGTGTGGTAGCTCGTTCCACCATCGTGGTGTCACAGATGAGAACAGGGACTGAGATTGCTTTGTGTGAAGGGATGGCAGAGCCAGGCGGCGTTTGTTAGAGGAGCGTAGCGAGCGAGAAGGAACGTAAACTTGTGTTATGGAGTTTAGATAGATGGTGCAGACCCAGTAGTCACTCTGTATGCAGCATTAGTGACTTGAATCTGATTCTGGAGGCCACGGGGAGCCAGTGGAGGTCACTGAGTAATGGAGTGACATGAGTCCTTTGACTTTTGGCCCACTCTTCTTTGCAGAATAGTTTTTATTCAGTCACAGTGGAGGGTTTTCAAGCATGAACGGCCTGTTTAGGCTCATGTTACAGCATCTCAATTGGATTTAAATCCGGACTTCAACTAGGCCACTCCAAAAGCGTAATTTTGTTTTTAGGATCTATTCAGAGGTGAACTTGTGTTTGGATCATGGTCCTGCTGCATGCCCCAGAGGTCATGAACTGATGGCCAGACATTCTCCTTCGGGATTTTTTGGTAGACAGCTGAAGCAGCAAAGCAGCCGTAGACCATCACGCTACCACCATGTTTGACTGTCGGTATGATGTTCTTTTTATTAAATAAAAAAAAAATCTTTTGTTTTTTGGCAAATGTGAGACGAGACTTTGTGTTCTTTTTGGTCAGCATGGATGCCATTTTTGCCAAGTGTTTTTCTTATTGTTTAAACACTGACCTAAACTGAGGCCAGTGAGACCTGCAGTTCTTTAGATGATGTTCTGGGCTCTTTTGGGACCTTCTGAATGAGATTTTGATAAACTCTTGGAGTCATTTTGGTAGACTGGCCCCTCCTGAGAAGGTTCACCGCTGTTCCTAGTTTTCTCCATTTGTGGATATTGTGGTTCGCTGGAGTCCCAAAGCCTTAGGAATGGCTCTGTAACCCTTTCCAGACTGATAGATGTCAAAAGCTTTATTTCCCATCGGTTCTTGACTTTCTTTAGATGGGATGGTGTGTTGCTTTCTGATATCATTTAGCCTGCTCCACTTTGTCAGACAGGTTATATTTGGGTGATTTCTAAACTCAGCAGGGCTGGCAGTAAGCAGGTGTGGTTTGTGAATTTTAATTCATGATTGAGCAAGGGGGGCACTTACTTTTTCCACATAGGGCCCGGTAGGGTTGCAAAGCATTTGTCCCTTAATAAAATAAATCATCTTTTAAAAAACCCATCTCGTATTTACTTAGGTTACGTTTGTCTAGTGTTACAATTTGCTTGATGATCCCACACTTATATATTTACATTTGTCAGTATGACAAATATAAAAAAAAAAAGAAATCAGGAAGAGGGGGAAATACTTCACTACTTATTTTGCCCTAAACCATTTTACCCGTCTCATGATGCCGTAAAACCTATCAATGTGTTCATCAACATGAAATCACAGAGAGATTTATCTGCTGACTCGCTGTCAGGAAGAACAACATTCCAAAAAAGACCTACAGAATTACTCAAATCCTCCAGGGGATGCTGTCCAAGTAAAAATATGGTTTTGGTGTTGATAGATTTAGTCAGTCTTCTTGTTGACTCATTTACTGAGGTAGATTTCATCACACAGCCTCCGCTGGTCAAATACATGGTTTCATCACATGAAGGAATGTGTTTTCCAAAGAGCTGAGCTGTGGTTTCTCTCAGGCCTTGTGTGTTTAAAAAAAATCCATATTTGCAATGCAAAATTTTAATGTGCAACTTTTACCGCAAACTCTCTTTTTGTTCTGCTGCTACTCGACTCCCGTTAGTCCCGGAGGTGGGTTCCCTTGCCTGTGGCATTATTTGGAAATGTTTATCCTGAACAAATTTGGAAATAATAACACTGAATGTCCTGCATTTAATGAGAAACTTCTCTGAAACCCAACAACTGTTGTTCAAAGGTCAAACTGAACATGGCTCTGAGAAGTCCAAATTGGAAAGATACCTCGGATGCATTCAACAGGAGATGAAAGAGATTGATTATTTCTTAGAATCATTTTTTTTATAAAATGTCAGAAAATAGTGAAAAATAATGCCTCAATTTATCTGAACAGTCCAAAACCCAAATTTATTCTGTTTATACTGTTAGAAAACAGAGAAAAAGCTGCAAATCTTCATATTTGAGAGGCTGGAACCACAAAATGTTTGGCCTTTTGTTTGATAAATTACTATAATGATTAATCAGATTAATCAGAATCGTTGATGTTTATTTTCTGTCCATCGACCAGCATTGTCATTCCCTCAGTTTCTTAGCACAAAAAAATATGATTTACAAAATGTGATTGTCCATTGTTTACAGGTAAATGTAAGAAAAAATCTATAACCATAAATACAGAGCTCAACATTACACTTCTTTATCTTAACCCATCAATTTGCGAAACTTTGAATATCAATTTTTCATTTTTAATTAAATCAGGATTTCTTTCAACCTAATTATTCTAATTACGTTGTCAAAAGACAGTGGATCACGTCCATCACTTAATATTATATACGAATAACACCAATTATGTTGTAGTCGATCTGTTTGATCTCCACACACCCATCCACGAAGTACACATCTAACTGCTCAAAGTAATCCCGTTAATGAAGAGCAAATATAATCCTTTAAACAGAAGTGGCTTCAGGTGTAATTCCTCATATAATCCTCTTTGGTTAAAATTAAATATTGGCTTAAATATTGTCTGGCAGGCGTTGCTGCATGGCGACAATCTTAACACCTTAAAAATGAACGACCTGTATTTAGTCTCTGTGTGCATAGCTGAAAGGCAACACTGTAAATAAAGCACTGCGGTATAAAAGTACTACATAAATGCAGCCAATTAAAAAATTACCAAAACACCCAAACAAGGTCAGAGTGAGGTCACCGCAGCGGGGGAGGAGATGTGCAGCTGCAATGTTAAGGCCGTGTGTGTGTGTGTGTGTGTGTGTGTGTGTGTGTGTGTGTGTGTGTGTGTGTGTGTGCGCAGCATGACAGGGCTGCCTTAAGGCCAAGGTCTGATATGGAGGGTGTTTGTTTTATTTTAGTTTGTTCATATTTCATGCAGGTCTGGGTAATCATTTAAAAGTATTGGTTGTTTTGATTTTTGCAATTTTTTATTTGTAATTTTGTTACTGCTGCAAAAGCATAATACGAGTGCAAGCGAGTACGAATCATTTATATTCGTTAGTTCTTATCAGTTTGCATCTTATTCCAGGATTTACAAACCTCCCACAGCTGATGCAAACTTTCTCCATCATAGGATGTCAAATACTTCTTAAGAAATGAAGTTACTCTCAAAACTAGCTGTTGACAGATACGGGTAAAGCAATGGCCAATGCTGATATTTAGAGAGCTGGGCGGCCGATGGCCATTATTTAACCAAGAAATGAAAACAAAAAAAGTACAATCTAATATTTATGTTGCCATAAACATACAATGTTTTTCATGAGTATGTTCTCTTGTTTTGTTAGAAAGACAATTATTTTATCACATTTTTACACCCACAACCTGATTTTTGCTGCTCCTTTTCTCTTTTCTTCCATTGAAAAAAAAAATAGCAGCAGCATGAAACGGTAATAGTGGTCGACCAAAAGGTACAGTCAAATAAACATTAGAGCTGCACAATATATTGTTTCAGAATCATCATCACAATGTACCTATGCGCAATAATCACATCGTCTAATTTGAGGGTTCCTGGATACACAGAGTTTGTTGCCGGTGAGTGACAAGCAGGCTCTGCATGCACAGCAAAAACACCAATCAATTGGTCAATCGTGATCATGATCAGTTTATCTGCCCACGTTAGTTGTTGACAACAACTTGAAAATAAGTGAGGAACAGGGGAAGACCACTGAAACAGTGGGTTTAGTTGCAAAAAGACAAGCAACTTTTGTAAACCACTCAGGGGGCTGGTGTATAGCTGCTCATTTCTTTTTATCACTTTATTTAAATTATGTTTACTGCATCAAAAAACCCTTCAGACTAAAAATAAAATTTTCAGCTTATTGATTTCATTTGCATTTTTCCCCTGCAAAAATCACCCCAATAATTCTAGGATGTTTAATTATTTTCAAATAAAGGAATTGAAGTCATGTGGAGAAAATTCCTGCATTTCTTCATACTGCAATATATATCGCAGAAAAGTAAAATATCGCAGGGGTCAGTTTTTTCAGTATCGTGCAGCCCTAATCTACATGTTATCTCAGCAGTAACATGCGGTTTCAGATAGAAGCTTTATTAATGAATAAAACAAAAACATACTTTGGGTTCTGCTGTACATTTCAGAGCGTGGCTGGTGATTAAAGGAGAGCGGAGTACAGTTTGTCAGACGTCATTCACCTGCATTACTCCCTTCAGTATAATAGATATATATTTAACTCTAGCCAGTAATGTTGGTAGATTAGATCTGCTGTGCCTTGTGGTTGCAGATTTTCTCAAAATGCCAGATATTGGCCGATTAAACGCTCTACCACAACACAAAACTAACAGTATTGAGTGTTTAATTTAATTTGTAAATTAAATCATTAAATATATAATTTTAAGACATTTGATGTCTTTAATAGCAGCCTTACTGTGAAGCTACATGTAAATATTTTCACATCATTTTTATGATGTTATCGTGTTTCAGGCTTTGCTTTACGATCAAAGATCGCCATCTATTGGCCAAAGTGTCCACCTGCAGCAACATGCTGACACTTTCAGTTCCTCTGGAGACTGAAACCACAGCGTGATGACATGACTCAACTTGTGGCTAAAAGTTTGGTCTGAACATTTGTTATCTGCCGTTATAATCAATATATCAGACAGCAAATCAATCAATGTGACATTAAGTTAATCAACACAGTTGTTATATATTTATGTTATTTACATTTTAAGTTGTATTTCTGTTTAGTCAAATAAGGGGAGGCCTTGTTGTGTTTGAGGTCAGTTAGTTAGTCAAATGTGTGAACTTTGAACTCAGATAACAGTTTAAACACTGGATGCTCAACAGTTGGCAAGTTAGCTTAGCATTAGTTATGTTAACGTTAGTGTGCTGGCAGGAAAACCATGTCGTTATAAGTTGACTAAATATGATTAGCCAGCTTAACTCAACAGTCGCTTGCAAGGAAAAGAAACAAGTTCAGACATACTTCTCTACATCGTTTAGCTTGGCTAACTGCTAGCTGGCTAACATTAGCGGCTAGCTAATAAACCAGGAGCACCGGAGCGGTCTTACCGGGTGTTTTGCGTCCCGGACAGCCGGACGCAGAGCCACAACAGCAGCCACACACACGGACATTTCACCGACACTGCTGCCATATGAGGAGAAACACTAGCCTGCTGCCAAACTCCCCTCACCTCCTCCTGATGGTTCCTACATCCTTCAGCTAGCGCACAAAGTCAATGTAAACAAACTGAAACACGCTGCTTCCGGTCACTGTTACAAAATAAAAGCCATATGCTGGACTGAGCAGCAGTTAAATTCCACCAGGTGATGAAATAAGATGTGATATCAATCATGACAATTTCAATAATTATTGTAAGTCAAACTGATTTTGACTTTATTGGAAGCCAACATTTTGATAAATTTACTAAACATTTACTAGGGCTGGACAATTCAACAATACTAATAATTATCCCAATACAATTTTTCTTGAAAACAATATAACAGATGTTCAATAAATGTTTGATTTAATTCATTTGAATCACGAACAAATTAACAGTTAATTTATCAATTAAGATATTTTGTTGAGGAAAAACTCAAAAACAAACTCATGCATGTTTGTTGAATTAAAAAAAAAAATCAGAATTGTTATTTTTTTTACCTCAGTCTACCTAGTCTATAAGTTAACACGAGGGCTGGGCAATAAAACACTATTGATAATTATCATAATATAATTTTCCTCAATAACAATTCAACAATAAATGTTATAACACATGTTCAATACATGTTTAATTAACCTGAATCACAAAAACTAATTTTTTTTTTACTTTTCTCATGCATATTTGTTTAAAACATCTTTAATAAATAATTCTTTCTCAAAATAGTTTTGAATGTTCTACCTCAGATTTGTTAAGTGAAACATTGTTTGGCATCAAGTGTTTGTTCTGACGATAAAGAAAAGTTTAACCACACAATTTCTTACATCCCCGTGACCCTGTATGCAGGATAAGTGGTTGGCGATGGATGGATGGATGGATGCTGTGTTGACAGACACTAGTGGTGTAAACTACATTCATATCAGAAAGTTACTTACTTTAAATGTGTTGTTGTTTGGAGTTTCTCTGTGTATTAAAGGACTTGTCAATCAATTTGGATGTTGTAGCAGTTTCTTGTGCTGCGTTTTCAATTTCTACATTGTTACATGCATCGTTTGCAGTTGGTTCATGATTTAAAAGCCAATATTAAATCTAAAACTTAACAAATAGTATTTAAGCATTCATTGCTCTCTTGATAACAGAAACGCTCTTATACTGTAATTTTCTGGCATTAAGCAGGTCCTCCCTTTATTTTGTATTATGTTCACAGTAATAAGTCAGTGAACTCTTTTAAGTCCTTTCTTAAAACATACTTTTATAGGAGAGCTTTCCTGAGTTGATTTTATTAATTTAATTTTCTGTGAACTATATTTTAATTTCTTGTTTGATTTGATTTATTAGTTCATATCCTTTATAACTGTGGATACATCATTAAAAATAAGACTGCACTCATCGACTGCACGTCTTTGGGCTTCAGGCAACACTTTATATGTATTTTGGATGTATTTTCTTTTTTATATATGTATATATATATATATATGGATTTGTCTAAGCAACATATGTTGATTAAAAGGGTGAAAAACAAAATTAATGAATGTAAAAAAAAACATTGTCAAACGTAAAATATTTTATCAAAGTCTCGCTTTTATTTTAAAATAAATATCGACAGCTTCCGGTATTGTTGACTTAATGTAGTAACTTCACGCAGTCCGGTCACATGACTCCTATAGATATACTGTACGCGTATCTATTAACGAAAGCACACAGCCACACCTCACATGTCAATAGGAAAGGTCGGCTGTGTCATTGTTTCTTTTTCACTTTTCACTTTTTTTATTGGACATTTTGACTTTGTAAACAGAATGAATGCAAAATAATAATTAATTTATAACAAAGCAGCAGATTTTATTAGCTATTTATATGCAAAGCTGTCAGATAAATGTAGTGAAGTAAAAAGTACAATAGATGCATGAGAAACAGACATGTAGATTTGAACATTTTTTAATTGATATGCTGTGAGTGACCCGATGAGGCTACTGATTCCTCTCCATCCAGCAGCACACACAGCCATCTGCAGCACAGAGGAGACAGACAGACATGCTTTATAAACATGTAGTCATAAAACAACGCATGCTTATTTTGCATGTGTAATAAATTCACTCTGTATGAAGCAAACCTTTGTGTCAGTGTAAATAATTTCCACTTGAGCAAAAAAAAAGTAAAATGTTCCAAAATTTTACCATCATCCGCATGCACCAGTACACTGACAGCCATTGCTAAAACTGTCCAAATAAGAGAGACAATACATCAGATTTTTGCTTTATATAACCATTTGTTCAAGTGCTGACAATATATTTTAGTGCTATAAGAAGATGGCAAACGATGTGGGCTAATGTTCTTAAAATCTATTAAATGGGAGACATTGCAAGGGGCTCTATGCTCAAATAATAAACTGAAAAAAGTAAAGTGCAGTTAATGCCTCTGTCGTCTTAACACATTGTTAAGGCACAAATAAAAACCACATTAGCCTTTTCCGGTTGTTTTTGAAAGTAAAAAAGACAGACTCTAGCCGTTACATTTCAGTGGAAATTAGTCTATAAAGTGTCTAGTCTCTATTACAAGACACCCAAAATAAAGAAAAAATACAACAGATATAATCTCTATTTATTTTTGCCCCACAAATACAGATCAGTGAGTGTTGCTGGAAGACTATTTGCTACTTTTATTTTGGAGGAAGTGTCGTCCCACTTCCGGTTTTGTTTTAACGGTTATATTTTGTGTGATTTTGACGTACTATCTAACATATTTACCTATGTTATTATTGTTTATTATATATTTTTCAGGCACGTTTGTGTCAGTGGCTGATTTACAACTTGTCGGCAGCTGTTTCAGCAACTTTTATTGTTAATTAAATGAAGCGGAATTTAAAGTCTGCCGGTGTCGGTTGGCCGGAGGAACGTTTTTAATGTGACGCAAGGTAAGGGTAAAAGTTGAAGGGGAACATGGCAGCTGCTGGCATCAGTGCTAAACATGGATTGTTAAGCAGTAAAACTTCGCTGTATCACGCTTTTCCGAGACATATATCACCCACCGGTGCGTGTTTACGAAGAGCTGCTGAAATACAGAGTGTGAGAGCGGCAACCAGCGCGACAGCAGACTCTCAACTCAATGAAAAGTACTGTCTGGAGCTGGTCAGGTAACTGCTAACAACACAACATAGCTAATATTAAACAAACCTACATTTACAGAGCATGATATGGCAGCTTAATTTACTGCTTCATGATGTATTCGGCCTCCAGTTTAAAGAGATATAACAAGGATAACCTACACTTCTTCTAAGTGAAAGCTTGTGGGGAGACGGCTCCTCGCCAGACTCCATTCAAATATCCGGAATACATGTGGACAGCGCAAGAATTCACAACACTTAACTCATGTTTTTAGAACTTAAGCATGCTGTTTAAATGTTTTATGTTCTGTGTTCATTTCGGCTCATTCTAGCTGACCAATAAACATGTATTTATATGTCGTGTCAAGTTTTAAACATATCAAATGAGTCCACTACATTCACCTCGCTTCACAAATTGGTGAAATAGTTGAACATCATCATTAAGGTATTTGTCTTCCAGCTCTTGAAAGTAATTTTTCTAAATGAGATGCACTTTATTATGTGTGTAAACATAGACCTGGGCGATATGGCCAAAAATATTATGATTGTAAACCATTTCATATTATTCAATATAATCGATGATCATCAGGATAAATTTTTATTTCTTTAAAGTTTAAAGACTGATTTTTGCTCCTGAATGAAAGTTCGTTGTGACTTGATGTCAAACAGTGGATCACTTTACAAATCTGAGGCAGAACCTTCAAATATAATTAGTAAAATCTTTTTTTTCAGTCCTTTTTCCTCAACAAAATAAATATCTTAATAGAAAAATTAAGTGCTTGGCCTAATTTGTTTGTGATTCCAATGAATTAAATCAAACATTTATTGAACATTTATCATACTGTTATTGAGGAAAATTATATTACGATAATTATCATTATGGTTTTATTGCCCAGCCCTAGTGTAAACATATAGATTGTAGAAAACAGCTGTTCTACAAAGACAGGTGTAAGTCTCAAACAATTTTCAATTTTATTTTCATTTGTTAACATCAAAAAAGCTGGTGTTTTTTTATGTGAACATACTCAGGTTAATTTAAATTTCAGATTTATTCTCTTGGTTTTACAGCTTTTTACATGTTTGTTTGAAAACACTTTTTTACTTTTGTGCCTCTGAACTTAGTTGTAATTAGGATGGACACTTTTCTTTGTCAAAGACAGCAAATGGGAATATAATTTAAGAAGAATGCGTTTAACTGCGTATCCTTAATCTGTCTTCCATGTCCTCCTCAGGTCCAGAGACTATGACGGCTTCGTGTCCTCCCTCCTCCTCCCAGAGGAGGCGCGACGCTCCTCTTTGGCTCTGAGAGCGTTTAATGTGGAGCTGGCACAGGCAGGTATTCCTGTAGCCAGGGTGAATGATAACTGAGAATGCTGAGCTGCAATGATTAATTGATTAGCTGTCAACGACTTAGTTAATCGGCAACTATATTGTTAATCGAGACATCACTTTAAGTTCTTTTTTTAAAGAAAAAACCTTCCAAATTCTCTGATTTCAGCTTCTCAGAAGGGAATATTTTTATACTTTGCTCCTCTATGACAATAGACGACATTTTAGGACGTCACCTTGGGCTTTGGAAAAACACTGAGTGACATTTTTGCACATTTTTTTAGACCTAACTACTAATTGATTAATCGAGAAACTACTTGACAGATTAATGGAGAATGAAAATAACCGTTAGTTGCAGCCCTACTTGGAATACTGCTGTTACTACTATTACTACTTCTGCTGCTGCTCCTGTTTCTATATTAATAATAATAATATTGTAAATAATCCAATTTTGATCCCAATCTTTTTCAAACTAGCTTGTCAAACAGGTGCCTTGCTATATTTCCTTCTCCCCAAGGTGAAGGACTCCGTTTCCCAGAAGACTATTGGTTTGATGCGAATGCAATTCTGGAAGACGGCCGTAGAAGAAATCTACAGAGACGAGCCTCCAAACCAGCCGGTCAGCGCCGAGCTGTGGAGGGTAAATATCAACCTACAGAAAATT